GTCATCCTTGTAAGCCGCAATGTGAATCATCAATATCGTCCTTCATGGTTACTTTCTTCAATTCCATGCTGCTTCGACGCCCGCACAAGCAGCAAGGTTTAACCAAGATGCACTAGATGTATCGATCGGTTCAAGCGAATGTGGCGGCACATCATGTGCCGCACATAAACAACTGGTTACAAAAGCTCATGTGTCTTGTGGCACACCAGACCCTTGTGGGTCGGATTTGACTCACAAATAAACACCCTAGAATTATCAATGATAATTTACCATCAACAGCCACCTTAAATGTCGTTGTAACATCACAAAGAGGACAGTCTGGTGATGGGAAGTTGGGTTCTTTACCATGCACAGGTTGCAGCTGCTCGCCGACTGAGTCTTCCTGACCTCCCTTCCACAGTAAATTGAGTATAGCTCCTCGTTCACTCCACATTGTTGATTCCAGGGAAGGCCGCGACACAACTGCCATAGACGTAGCTCGGGGTGTGTGGAGGCAAGGCATCATCGCCCAGTACCTACAATGGGAGATTCGCAGCACATGGTAGCAAATCACCAACACGCAATAAAGGGCCATCACCACGAGCACCTTGGACGGGAAATCTTCTGAAACTGTAACGGACGGACTGAATGCAAACCACTTGACAAGTGGTTTGCGCGGATCACTTTCTAGCGGAGTCCCAGCAGGGACAGCATCGATATCCATTGCAGGGGGCGTTGACAGCTGTCCTTGTTTATTATAATTCAATGACGAAGTAGCTGAGTGACCAGACAGTAAAATGCCCAGCCGTTCGGTGGGAAAGGCTAGTGCCTGGTTCACTGACCCATATTAGCGAGCGATAAAGGAGCCTGAGAGAAGAGAAATCCGTTGCGATCACTTGCGCCGCGAGAGAGGCTCCGGGAGCCTGGCTCCCGCAAATCTTTCGCGAGCCTCTCGCGCCTTCGGCCTGGCTGGATCTACGCACAGTGGTATTCTGCCCGACAACAGAGAAACTCTACACGTTTGGAGACCCCCGAGCAACGCAAATCCGGCAAGAGAAGCGGCGAGTGCCGCGTTGGCGTGCCGATGGCGCCAAGGAGGCCTGAATAGTTTACAGCAGACTGAATTTCTTTTATCAAGATAGGTAGTGCACTCTGTCCTCCTCAAATATTCCCAGCGAATGACCCTGTGAGCTTTTGCTCTGGGAAATAATAACCATGAGCTGTAATGGCAATACCGTTGGTGCAGACACTGCCATTCTGTCTACCAGGTAGAATAGCACCTGTTCGCTTACTCATCAGTGTTCTTCGATGCTTGCTTGACGTTGACAGTCGGCCTAAGGCTCTTCACTTTATCACAAAGTGTTGACTGACGAGGACGTGAAAGCAAGTAGCCGAGCGCTGCAATGGTTGTTGAGATTAAGAAGGCTAAGACTCTACTGTACTTCTCGATGATCGTCGGTGACAATAGCGGCCGGTGCTTCATTCAATGCGTGTTGAAGCTCAGTTCATTGGTGCCGGAGGGAACTCTTCCGATCGTTGATGATGACGAGACCATTCAATACCCTGCGTGTACGGTGTCGACCATGAGCGATAGTGAGCTGATAAGTTAATAACAATTTCCAATGGTTGCTTTCCTTTCTGAGAGGAGGCTCGGCCTTCATCGATGGTTGCTCGTCCTGTAAAGAAACGGCTCAACAAGTCTAGGTGATGTTCAAGGGTATTCGCATTCGGGTTTCGAATGCGAATACCTACTACAGTGGCAAAAAGATATTGGAAGACCAGCAGTGTTTGTTTGAATGATACTATCGTTACGATAGTCGATAGAATGACCACGACAAGTACCTCTGTTTCATAGAGAACTTATCGAGTGCACTATTCGCCCACTTCTGCAAGGATTCGCAGTACTGCGCCAATGGATATATGTGTGGGAACAAGACCGACTCTACACCCACTGTAGTAGAATCGATTTCGATATAAGGCTTGAGAGTCTCATATCAAAGTCAACTTTTTGAGATACTCTTATCATACTAAGCGGGTCTCAAGTTGACCCCGCTCATAGTCACGGTAATGCGAGCAGATCTTAATAAGAATATCTTATGATACAACGGCTTCGAGAATTGGGTAGTACTTCAATGGGCCACCAGGACACACCATTCGTCGCATAACGATATCTCAAGGCCATGAATTAAGAATATGTCGGCAGTACTATCTTGCTAGGAAGCATCCTGGGATATCATTATATCCAGAATATATGTGGACCCTGTCGGCAGCTCTCATGGGTGTGCACCACCTATATTGATAACATAGAGGTGCTTGACGAACACTCGCCACACCCAGGTACTCATATCTCGTCGTCAAACTCGGCATGGAATTTCCATTCTGTCTTTCCATGATGGAAAGACAGAGTTGCACAACACATACTTTTCAAAAGGAATTCGCGCAGTACTCTATCAGTATATTACTCGAGCCTTACGACGATACCAACCCCTGGACGACGTAGCGCATACTACAACGAGCGGATATTACAACGAACACCGTTCTGTGCTTGACCAGGATTACAGTTAATGAACACTTCATAATGTGAAGTTCACCTAGTAAGGCTGCGAGTTGACTGAAGTATGGTACGAACACAGTAGGCTGTCCCATTCAGTACGCGCAGCGAGAAATTTCAACGGGCGGTGTGGATAACTTTCCCACGTCGAATTCGCCTCCGACTACTACCCTCAACAAACTTGTAGACTTGGTTGATCTGGTTTTGTCCAAGCTCCCATCTCTCTGTGAATTTGCGATCCAGTTGTAGATGAGTACATGGTGAGATAGCCTGACACAGGACGTAATCAGCACAGAATCAATCAACAATACACAATTTTCCGGTCAAATAAAAACAGTGGTTGATCAATCCAAACGAATTTCACACGAGTTGAGAAGTATTACCGAATTCAAATGATTGCCAAGTATATTTCATCATGTCACCGAAATTGAGAATATGATCAAATGCGGCTCAAAACGCGACATCTTATTTCATATAAGATGTGGTACTTGCTAATAGCAAGTTGCAATGTAGGGATTTCCTATGTAGGGTATACACGGGGCCACAATCAGTTTAAAATTCAAGATTTAAATAAGTTATTTAAACCGATTTTGACCTTATTTCATATTATGAAGTTCATAATGTCCCACAACCTGTGTACATCCTATATAGCAAGTCCTTACATGACAGATCTCGAGTGGCTGCAAGTTGCAGCCTGCAACTCCTTACTCACGTTGAATTAATGAAACGCAGGAATTAGATAGTGATCACTCCGCGAGGAGTGATCACTGTGTAGTCTTTGTTGTACTGTCAGCAATGATAAATTTAGTTCAGAATTCTTCAACCAAGGAACATCATCTGTTATCACGAATATCATCTACTATACTTGTAAATTCCCGAGTAATTCGCCTTAAAATGCTAACGGATGAATTTAGTAATGAGTTGTAATGAGGTACACAGTGAGGAAGTCTAATGTGGTAATTTGAATAACCGCCCTTGTGTAATATCGTCTTAGGTAAGGATGGTTACCTAGCCTCTATAGCATGGCCTGGCCAGGCTGGGGCTACCGTATGTCAATCACAGTTAAGATGCATTGTCATAACACTACCAACTCAAGACTATACGGCAGTTTACTTGCATGCAATACGGAATCCGTGAAAATTTCAGGCACCGCTAGCCACTGCTGACTCCATTGTAATCGTCTCTCCCACCATCGACTGACGAATCTTAGCTTTATGCAATTCATCATCTTCTTTGCCGATCTGAACCAAACCATACAGGATGAAGGTTGCGTCGAGGAACTGCCCGTACATTTTCATGAATCGCTGCGAGTAGCCGTCGACAATGTTCCTTAGGATCCATAGGCTCAAGAGAAGATACCGTGATACGTGGCCGAGGTTCACCCTGATACGTCTCCATCTTAGCACGAACTCGGATCTTCCACTCCTGAAATGAGGGATGTTGAACATTCTCACTGCGCAACAAGCTAGTACTTTATCGTAGTAGTGTTCCTTGAGTTCGTTTCCGGCACTCTTGCCTACGTCTTGCGCCATCACGAAATCTTCGACTGGTCTCCCAATCAGGGTATGGGCTAACAATATAATGATTGCATTGTTCCATGGTTAACTTCAGCGGGTTACCCTGGTCATGAAAGCATGTGAGATATGCATCATCTGTGCTGTCGACAAACTGGGAACGTAGCATGTATCTTGCCTTGACATTCACCTACACGACTTGATTTTTGTACTGGTCCCGGCCAACGACCACGCAGTCATTGAAGAGATCGACTCATGATTCATTCGGTTAATGCGAATAATTGGTACCCTCTAGAGTTACGTAAAGACCATCTTCAGAGCTAACAAACAGGGCCTGAGATTCCTGGTTCTCACCTGTCTATTGCATGCCTGACAGAAACCGTCGCTACCTTCAGCCATCTTACGATTACAACTTTCGCACGCCATGTAGAAGATAGGGATCTAACCAGAAGGGTACGGTTATACACGCTTATCCACAAAAATGACTTACATCATTGCCATCCCTTCCTCGGGTAGTAACAAATTGCAGTCTACCGATGATCTCATACGAGTGCATCGATCCGCCCAAGTCCATGTTTTTAACATCATTCTTCATCTCTGCAATTGTCTGAGATGAAAACCTTCTCATGAATACTGAAGACCTTATCTGCTACCATCTCCTTAGTAACCATAGTCTGACCACCACTTCCAGGGACCGACGTCCCCTGTTGTGACAAGTTGGTGAAAGCCATCGAGCATCCAGTATTGGCCCACCAAATCTGAGAGTAGCAGTGTATACAGATGTCAGTAGTTAATCCGCGACTGATGATGAAGGGAAGTGGACGGCATCACTTTCAGTTGTTTAGCCTCAGGAATGTCCGGATTGACTTCGATCTGAGTCGAGTTCAAAGTCGAACAACTTCGTCCTGAATAGGAGTTATAGAAACCACAAAGACAACATTTCCACTACCGCCGTAATCCCGGACGCTAACACCCTTCATGGCGACAACCGGCTGCGTTTGCAGCACCGATTCGTCCACGACGTTGACCTGGATCATATGCAACAGAGGTTCGCTCGAATATGGACTTACCAAGTCATTCCAGAAAGTAACATCAACACAGCAGCCGGACTCGTCACAAACCGTTAGATTACGACGAAATAGTTCAGCTCCGTTCTTCGAGTTGACAGTTCCCGCGGGCCTGATAGGGATGACATCTACGAGGCTTCAATAGCCACAAGTGACGTATCCGATTCAGACCACAAGACACCATAGTCACCTGTGATCCTTGATAACAACTAATAGATCGACTGTACTCGGCACGGACTTAGACTTGAGCTCTCTGACGGGGCAAAAGCTATACCTAAGAAAGTTACGTTCGAATGCGCCAAGTTCTGCCTTCATCTCACTTTATCTTATCAATATGGTCATCAACATCATCCTGCACCTCGACTATCTGTGAATCTTCTTCGAACACGATCTCGTAATTGTGGTTGCAAGAGCTATACCTCTTGTTAGCCACCTTGACATTGCCTTTGGAGAAGGTATACACCTGACAGGAGAGGGTACGTCTGAATCAACTCATTTCAGCCCACCTTCCCTTTCTGGAGTAGCTTATCGAATTTCTCAGCAGCTGCATTAAAGAAGGACCCTCTAATCTCGCTGCCCTACCGTGCGACAAAGTTTCCAGACCGGGAGGGTCTCCATCTTACTTCTTTGTCTAGAAGGTCAACGCTGAAGACCGATCCTCCGCCACGAGCATTGGTGAAGTGTCGGACAGGCGACTGGACAACGGACAGGAATGAGTTGTAAGTTAGTGCGTCACCACTATCGGTACCTTAGCAGTAACCCTGGCCTTGATAGTCCAGTTCCTCACCGAGTATGAGGAGATCTCGCGGATGGGAAAGTAAGTTGTCATTCAACTTCAAGAAGCACTGCCCAAATCAATGTGCGTACCAGCGAGGCTTCAATCAAGCTCGCGGTTGGGTTGTCATATTTTGCAAACTTTGCAACACTACCGCGCCCTTTTGATCGATTCGCTCGTGATGAATCCTAGGCGTGCCCATTTGATGCCTCCAAGATCACGAGTTGCGGGGAGACGTAGTAAATCATTTTGTCGACGCACTGTTTATATCTATTATACACCTGGAGAATAATCGAGCCGCTATGATTACTGTGATTCTATTTCTTTGACTCGAAAGTACTTGAGGAAAAATCACGGTCTGCCGCATCCACTTGTTTCGAATACATATGGGTCTTCCGAGTGAATTATACACCTCATCGCGGTCTTCATGGTCCATCATTGTAATCTCATCATACAACAGGGATACTACAGATAGAATATTTTCCACGTGCAACTAACACTCATGACTGTGTCTCGCATTAACTGGAGAGAAAACTTCTAGCTAGTCAACATTCGTATCGTGTCGTTCATACCCAAGAACTCGTATCGCAATGAGAACTAGGCTTGCCCTCGTTGGATGACGGCGAACTACCGTCGACAGCTAATCAACGACGGATCATGCGTTCTTGTCGAGTGCATTGTGTAATTGTCTGCTAAGCTAAGCTCTAGCGCGCTCAATCCATCCGACTTATATTCACTGTTCACCCCATATTTATTTCTATTAACGATGTCGTCATCTAACAAGGCTCTTCAGTACTGGCTATCCTTAGATTTCTATAAGGCCACCCGTGATGAGGCGTCTTCCTTTAGCGAGGAGGATATCGCCGAGCACTTGAATCCCGAGAAGCGTTTGGTTTTCGGCACTGCCGGTCTCCGTTCTCGTATGGGTGCCGGTTTCGACCGTATGAACTGCCTCACGGTGATGCAGGCTTCTCAGGGCCTCTGCAGATACCTTGAAGGGCAGTTTGGCAAGGAAGCTCTTGCCAAGCGCGGTGTTGTCTTCGGCTTTGATGGTCGTTACAACTCCAGACGTTTTGCTCACGTGGCGGCTGCTGTGTTCCTTTCCCAGGGTGCTAAGGTCTACTTGTATGACAAGGCTACTACATGCACTCCTTTCAACCCTTACTTGGTTAAGAAGTACAACTGCTGTGCCGGTGCTCAGGTCACTGCTTCTCACAACCCCAAGATGGATAACGGCTACAAGGTCTATGCTGCTAATGGTGCTCAGATCATACCTCCCATGGATAGTCAAATTTCTGATTCCATTGCTAAGAATCTTGTTCCATGGAAGGAGGCTCTCGAGCTCTTGGATGTTGATGGAGAGTGTTATCTTAAGGACACGTCTAAGATCATCGATCCCTATGATGATGTTCTCTTGACTTATCTCGACCAGATGTATCATGAGCTGTGCCGATTCCCTGAAGAGAACAAGAAGTGCACCTTGAAGTTCGCTTACACTGCCATGCATGGTGTCGGTCTTCCCTTCACTACTGGACTGTTGAAGAGGTTCAACATCCCTGATGAGTGCATTAAGGTTTTCGAGCCCCAGGCTCATCCTGATCCCGAGTTCCCCACTGTGCCGTTCCCCAACCCCGAGGAGAAAGGTGCTCTGAATCTGTGTCTTGCCTTCGCTAAGGAGAACAACTGCGATTATGTTATTGCTAACGATCCTGATTCTGATCGCTTCACTGCTTGTGAGAAACAGAAGAATGGTGAGTGGCATCAGTTCACTGGTGATGAGCTCGGAACTATCTTCGGAGATTTCTCCATTTTGATGGCCCTTCGTCGTGGTGTCCCAGCCGAGAAGTGCTTGGTTCTTAACTCGACTGTTTCTTCTAAGATGCTCGCCGCTGTTGCTAAGCACTACGGTTGCCGTTATACTGATACCTTGACCGGTTTCAAGTGGCTCGCTAACACTTCTCTCAAGATGACCGAGGAGAATCCTGAACTCGTTCACTGCCTTGCTTACGAGGAGGCTATTGGTTACGCTTTGACCATGGCTGTCCCTGATAAGGATGGTGTCACTGCTGCTTCTGTGTGGGCTGAAATGGCAAACTACTGGCGTCGTGAGAAGGGTATCACCCTCTACGAGCGTCTTGAGGAACTCCGTCAGACTGTCGGTTACTTCGCTAACAATAATGGCTACTTCTTATGTTACGAGCCTGCGGTTATGAAGCAGATCTTCGATAATTTCCGTAACAATGGAGATTACGCTAAGACTTTGGGTTCTTCTACTATTGCTGGTATTCGTGATGTAACTCTCGGTTATGACTCGAGGATGGCCGATAAGAAAAGTATTCTTCCGACTACTCCTGACCAGCAGATGATCACGTTGTACTTCGATAACAATGCCGTTGTGACTCTTCGGGGTTCCGGCACTGAGCCCAAGCTGAAGTACTACTGCGAGATGTCCGATAGGGTGTCTGAGGAGCAGGCTAAGGCTAACTTGGATGTTGTGGTTAATGACGTCATCAACAACTTCTTACAACCCGAGAAGAACGGTCTCGAGAGACGATAAGTAAGGTTGTTTATCAGCAGGATTTATTGGTGTAGTGAATGTTCATGCCCAGGGAGTCTGGGTTTGTTTCCATTTCTATACCACTTCCTGTACTAAATATCTAGATCCGTTATTCATATCATTGTTCATGATAATCCCGGCTAGGCTGGGTGTTATCTCAATCATTATCTAATTACTGCTCAGTCGTGAAGACAATCCTACCAATATCTGGCTTAATTTATGTATCCAGTGCTAACCTTAATGATCTTGAGTTCCTGAGTCAATTGGGCAGCGAGAATTAATACAGCAGCGGTTGACAGTGGTAATGGAGGTTTGTCGTGCACGAATTTGTGAATAAGCAGTATTTTGACGACTCTCTCAGGTTTGAAACAAGCAGTGTTTCATGTTGTTCGATCCTTGAAAGAGGAAGTTTTCCATACAAGTCAGGTGAAACGAAACATGCGACATATAAGATATGAGGTTACTTATACAATTTTCGACTGACGCAAGCACAACACGTAAAATACCGAGGTTTTGAAACTTATAGCCCAGCAACAATCAGTGGTGACAATCAACAAGTTTCGGTATTTACTGGTCGTCACTTATCACTCGGATGTGTCCATAGGAGCCGCACTAGTGGCTTCAGCCTGAAAGACCGGGATTGAATCCCTTCGACAAGTCCATCGAGCGACTCACCTTGGTCTGATCAAGATCACTGATCAGACTCTGCAACTCCTCGTTGTTGAGCTCTTTGAAAGGTTGCTCCTCACCAACAATAGCGATGCTACAGTTCTCTGTAGTCAATCTAGGAATGACACGATAGAAAATTCCTATAAAAACCAGAAGTCCAAGAGGGGAGACACTCACTTAGCATCATCCTGCAGCGTCTTGGCTAGAGCCTTAAGACCATGCATAAGGAGCGCCTTCTGGTCCTCAATGTTATCGAAACTCTCGTAGTTGTTCTCAAGGTAAGTTCTGGCAGACTGGGAGCGACCACCAATGGCCATCGCGTAATACCTGACCATACTCGCCAGACATGAAATCCAAACCGATATACTGGTAAGCTACTCGAAAATATTTCCACTGGGGCATGTCTCGTAGATGTGGGGGCCGTTCTCGTCGTAACCAGCCACGAGAAGCCCAACACCGTAGGGGCGCTTGCTCGCCACTTGCGTCTTCTCCTGTGATTCTGAATATGAATGACGATATAACACTGTAGCAGCCACAGTCCTATACTCACCAACACCAATCTTGTTGACCAACCTCCCGACACTCATTGGTGTATCGTAAGTGAACTTGTGTGACAAGCATTCGTCACGCATGAAGGAGCAGATCACACCTGCAAATGATTACTCCATAACAGGACAATGCTTGGTAACACTTACGCGCATCAGCGGTGAGGCCGGAGATTGCGACACCGATATGATCATCAATACGGAAGATCTTCTGCTGATAGGACGCGAGGTCAGACTGCCTTCTCCGGAAAGCACATAGGATCTGACAGAATATATTGTCGCCGGAAAGTAGGTCAAGCCTCGAGCATACCGCGTGCTTCTCCCCTCTAAGGGCCACTACAGCAGTTCCCTGCTTGACGGCCTCCATGGCGTACTCGATCTGGAATATACGACCTTGGGGTGACCAAGTGATGCAGTCAGTATCATAAGGGTTGCGAAACATCTCCAGGGAAAACAGAAAAAGTGACTAAAACGAGAATGAAACACGCGGGCTGACCGCATCACTATGAGTGACAGAGCTGAGAAGAATACAACAAGACTAGAACAAAACATGGAGAATGAATATTGTCACGAAGCCGAATTTGGCTGACGCATGCGAATAGAAGCATCACCAACAGGTGATTCACCTCCTGAGGTTTCTTTACCATATACGTTGACCGATGAAGGTGGAGCCGCATGCGACAATGGGAGATCACCTATCACGATAGAGCAGTGTCTACGTCCATGTAGGACACAAACCCCTCTCGGTGGCTATGTAACGTTCTCTGCATTGCTCCAACTTCTTGTCGATCTCCAGCACATGCAACTCGTGTCCATCGGCCTCTACGTCTTCATGTCGGCTTAGAGCCCAGTAATAGTGATATATAATATCCTAGATGGAGCGCGATCACCGTCAGATAAGCGTCGCATTTCACCTTCCTGGCCATGCGAAGGTACTCGTAATCCTCGTTAATCTCATCCAGCAATTTCCGGCGGATACCGGACTTAATCCACCTAACGATTTCACTGCGTCAAGGAGGCTGTACCATAAGTACCATGGTCTGAGCTTGAGCCAGGCAACAGCAATGAATGAAGCTGCCAGCAGCAACACTGCTATTGTCGCATACCGCGCCGTAGTACTCGAGTCCATGATGACGAAATGATGAACTGCCGTGTACGACACCACACACGCAGGCAGAGAGCTCAACTCATTCCAGCCTCTCTCCAACGGCTGTCAATGCTCACAAGGGGCATACCACATATCTCAAGACTGAAATTCAACAGTCGACCTCGAAAACCATACCATCTGTGCAGTCTTCTGCCGTAATACCGCTACAGGGCTTTCCCTCGAGATACCTGACGACAACATGAACGAGATGAGCGAGCCTGTGAGAGCTCACAGTGCAGTGACGGTATTTGGCTTGAGGACCGAATTAATGTGCTTTAACATCATACTCACGTTGGCCTCGGGCGACGCCATCCTGAATCGCATCTCTCTGGTATCCGTAGATCAGCATGCAATAGAGTAGGGAGCCTCCCAATCACACACGAATATCAAAGGTACTACATCATATGATCTACGCAAAACCCGGGGAGTTGGAGCCGGGCAAGTTCCTCATCGCCACCACGCTTCGAGATGATAATGATCATACCCTGAAATGATTGCCCGATGATCGCTATCAACAGATACAGAGCTTACTCCCATATTTGAAGGTACTGAAGATTGTTGCATGGACCGAGCAGGCCCATCACCAGCTTTGACCTTAGGCATAATAAAGAGAACTCTGTGGATCCTTAGGGGATACTCCAGCGCAACAATAAGGACACAGATGAGGCAATCACGATCCAAGGACATGCTCAGAGAGGCTCCGAGAGATATGTCGCTCAACGTTTGACTCAGCGTCTGAAAAGTAGCGTAGGTTTGTACCAATTGACTGATAATTACAAATGCCTGAAGAGCATAAGGCCCAGGGGGTGCTGCATCGCCATGCATTCAGTAGAGCCAGACCTGACGGGATATCCAAATTTACTTGAGGGTAATAGTACCTCGGAGGCCCTGGCGTGTTGGTAGCGCTTCTATCCGAGTACCAAGAGTCGGGTTAATGCTAGGCAAGCCTGCTGCTAACTGTGGCAGCCTACCATGGCTCTTGGAAAGGCTCGTCGCCTTACGAAGATCGCTTAACTCACTCCGGAGTTCGGATACACAATGTGCATCGGTAGACGACCTACGGCGTTCTTGGAAGGCATTTGCGTGTCGTTCAAATGACGCATGTTATCTTTGGCAAAAGTAGACATCTGCATATCAACATCCCGCTTCAATGGTCGGATTAGACCTCGTCCCGCGAACCTAAAAGACACTCTGACGGCGGAGGAGACGTTTATCGACAGCTACGGTATGTATTGAATTTCTCCTCGGAAGCCGTTCCCTCGCCACCGATCATCCGAACCATCCACACGGTTATTCCACTTCACCTTTGACCCATCACTACACTTCAAATGACTGCTAGTGTTACTACCTCTTCGAGCTTCTTGTTCTCCAGCGTGGGAGCGCCAGATCGTTCAGATCTGATCAGTTCTACGTAGAACCTCGAGATGTACTACAAACACTCACCGTGAAAGCTGTTGCCGCATATAGATATTGCCGTGAGGGATGTCTGGGATCATCGGGACGACACGATCGTCCCGGACTGCGTTGCCGTTGACTACTGGAACGTGTCGGGGAGGCCGCCCCGGTATGAGAGGAGCCATAGTGATTGCCGCTGAATCCGCGGAGAACAGGGGTTTGCAACGCAACACATCTCCTTCGCAGCGCCACTTGATCACATTCCTTCCAGAAAAATCGATTGGAATGGCGTGCGCGGATAAACCTCTGAACTCGGGTGCGGAGGGACCTATGCAAAGTTAGTCCTTCGAGTCCTACTTGTTGCGATGGGTTCTACCTGACTGCTTTTCCGGCGCTATGGAGCCCTCAGCTCAGTTTTAAAGATGTACCAGTTTGGGACGAAGGGACAGCGGCCGGTGGAGTCCATCGTGAAGGTCGTATTGGACATGCTCAAGCAGCATCCCAACCAGGAATTCACGGATTCCCAAATAGAACGGTGAGGGCTTTCAAGATTGCGGGCTCGTAGGAAATGCCTTATCTTTTTCAGGACGACAAGGGAAAGGATAATAGGTCAGCCAGCCGTGGTAGGCATGTTGCAAAACAACCCGAAGATCGACTACGATCCCACCACTAGAAGGTACAAGTTCAGGTAATAATTACTAGTCCGGGCGGCTCGGTCAGTATCATTGAGGAAGCCCCCTATGCTGAAGACTGTTCATAGGCCTCACTACGATCTCCGGGACAAGCAACAGCTCCTTCAACTGCTACATAGTCGGCCAACACTCATGGTGGATCCTAATTTACTCGAGAGTTATCCGGGAATCGACGAGGATATTTCAAGTAATTGTGATATCGTGTCATTGGTGGAGACTTGTCCCACTGTAGGTTTACTGCGGGAACATGCCTGTCGAGGCGTGCGGCATCCTGATTATATCAAGCAAATTAAATGCGAGCGAGCACAGGCCGCTGCGGAGCAAGCGGCGGCAGCGAGTGATGGAACTGCAAGGAAGGCGGCAGGTCTTGCGCCCATGATGATAATGGTTCTTCGATACTTTGCTCCAGGTGCTGGACCTCGGCCGAAGAAGTTGCAGTGCGATTTGTATTCTAACGAAGAACGGTGTTCTGCATGTACGCCAGCTGTGCTCACATACATGCTCTAGGTTTCTGTAGGTCGTAGCAACCTCGGAGTTATCCTTGGCCGGCTTTATTCCGATGAAATCACGAGTATGGCGAAAGCACTGGATAGCGATATAAAGGAAATGTAGGCTGGCACCTCAATCGGTGGTAGAACTTGACGGCTCGTAGGTGGTTTGGTACGACCTGGCCCAGCATAGCTGACATACAAAAAGCTACTAACGAAGGTCGCAATCAGCAAGCAGAGGTTTTGCATCGGTACTCTTTCAGCGTTATGGCGTGGCATGATGTTCGGTTTTCGCTTAGGCCTGTACGGAAGACTAGGGGAGGCCGACAGAGAGGCACTCGCAACAAGAGGACTTCTTCCCGACCTGAGAAAGTTAGCAATACTCATTTGGCGGGGGTAGTCAACCGTACGGCTGACCAGTTCTTTAGTTATGCTCCCTCAGATTCTCAACTCTTCGCCGCAGAGCATTGCTTCACCGTCGTCACCATCGACCCCTTCTCCATAACTCCACGTGTTTCCTACTGTTACCATTTGTCCTATTTCGACCTTGTTGCATAGTTTCACTCACGGGACTCGAAGCTTGCGCTATGGCGCCTGATTTAGGATTGATGATTCTGGGGGAACCGTTCTTAATAGTTTCTGGTCACTAATGGTTAAACGGAAGCGTCATCGAGTCAAGACTGTGAAGGACCTCTCGAGTCTTGTCCCCAAGAAGGTCAAAGCAAAGAAGAGTAAGGGTTCGTACTTCCATGCTATCAGCTCCTATGCTCGTGCGTGCTCATCCGCTAGAATGTGAGGGTTTGTCATTCGCTGTATACGTGGGTTGGTTGATTTAACCGCTCCCGACTCGTTAGGCCTGTGTCGAGAACATGATCGGTCTTTCTTAGTCTGGTGAGCATCACTGTGCGCTTTCAGGTGGTCGAAATGCGTTGGTAGATGAGAGGGAAGCCCGCCGTCTTGAAGTTGACCCAACGGTAAAACTTTCGATATCTGGGAGTTCATTTTTTGACGGCTTCTTTAGATGACGGTAGCTGAGATCAATCGGGAAACGGAAGAAATAGAAAGGCTAGCAGCTTCAGAGCTCAAGGTCAAGAAGAGAGGTAGTATGTCAGAAAGTTCGTCGATCTCTGCGGGGTAGTTAGTGCTGAGTCGTGACAACGCAATGATCTCGGTAACCCACTGATTAGTCCTGATAAAGTTTGGTCTGTTACTAACATTCAACGAGTTTCGTCTCGGTTTCTTTGGAAATGATGCTGAAACTTTTTCCAATGAGAGTGTAAAACACCTTGGAAAACTTCTTCCGGTCAGTCCTGAACTCTTATGTATCTTTTTTTATTCCCTCTCTCGCTTTATTTTGTTGATATTTTTCGCTGTCAGGCAAGATTCGAACTGCCGAGAATTGCTCAGTACCTGAAGTGGGAGTGCTGGAAGGTGGCTGGCGAGCGGAGAAGATGAAACGCAAGTCCCAGAAGCAAGTCAAGAAAGGACTCGGCACTTCAGCTTAGACTTGTACTCTACCAAGTTCTCTACGTCGGATACATCACTCGTCTTTTGTTTGGTGAATTCATCCCCGGGTGGATGCTGGAATATTCGACTCTCTGAAGGGTGTGGTGAATCCAGATAATACTTCTTCACGGACGGGATAATGGGCTGCCATAATGCGATAGCTTTGGGAGTTATTCGCTTCAATGTAGTCTTCCATAACCTTGTGTTCTTTCAACCAGCAGTTTCGCATCTGTGAGTGGTGAAGCTAGCTAGAACCTATTCACCATGAAGTTCGCCGCTTGCCTCGCAATCGTCGCCTCCGCTGCTTTCTTGACCTTGCGTGCTCGTGAAACGGTGACTGTACAATATCTTTGGTCGACTCCGTGGCAGTCTGTTACCCTCAGTGAGGACCTAATCCTGCCTGATTATTATCAAGACCTGCAAGATCTCGGTAAACTTTGCTATCAACTGCTACATCTGTGACAAGTTCGTGTCTAGGGGTCAAGGGATACGAAACTTTTCTGTCGAGCAATCCCCCGTCAAGGTCGGCGATATCCTTCCAGAAGTGGCAGTGGAAGGTAACTTCACCAATAGGCACCATACAGACGTGTGTACAATAGATATTCACGGATGATGATTTCCGGCAGCGCTTCTGGCCAGACCTCTATAAGAGCCGTGCCTTTGGTGCTTTGCAGAAGAGCATCGAGGTTATGTGTGGGGTATACCTAAATCAGAGCGACTGGGCAGTAAGTCAGCTCGTCACGTCCTTCGTTGCACGCACGGGCGGACTTGTTGGGTATTCACCAACTTCTATATTGAGCCTCGCCACTCAGCCTGAAGGTCACCTCGTGGATGGGGTTGCCCTATTCGTGTGGGCTGTCATCGTTGACGTTGACGAGGAACCCCCACAGTCTCTCCCTCGGACGCATGTTGCTCGAGGAGCTATTGCCGCTGGTGCTGTTGGCATCGCAGGCATTCTTATAATGGTGGTATGCAGGTGGTTATGTGACACCATTGCCCAGCGATGATCCGGACTCTGACAACTCTCCTGTGGTGATGTACACCATGGACCCCCGTGGTGCGAATCCTCCTTTCGGGAAAGATAGGTAACATGTAGGTTACGTCGCAGCGCTTCCCTAAATTGAGTCATCTCGATCACCTGCAGCGAAATACAATCGTCATTGCATTACAAAATGTTAGTCGGAGCTTTACTCTAGGATGAGGAAGTTTGCATGATTTCTAGAATCTCAGCCATGAAGAGGATGCAATTGGATGCTTGACTTTGCTATCGTGATCAGGAACGCCCCGTTATTACCCGGGAGAGTTTACACTTGGCCGCCTTGGCTTTCATACTTCATCATCCCTCTGAGAAGGAGTCCGTCAGATCTTATGAATAGTGTCAGTTCGTCAGAGCGATGACGGATTTTTCACTGTCGGTCCTTCAGGCAGGAGAATCAAGAGAGCGTCCTAGGGTTCTGTGGAACTATGAGCTCCTTGTAGCGGATCCGGACTATGTTGCGGATTTCGAAAAAGATCCCATATCATCTATGATACCGCCAAGAACTTCGAAGCGGTCGGCGTCGTATGGAGCTCGAAGGATCAGCACTTGTGTTGACATCAGATTCACGACGACTCGTTCGGTGGAGCGTGAGGAACATGGGGACGGGAAGTGCGATGAGAGTGTTTGCATGGTCATGAATGTCACGTCGTCTTTCGATGGCTTCTAGATTGTCACTTGCCTTGTCGAATTGGTTGGCTTGCACTGGACCGGAACGATGGTATACTTTCTTTCTAGCCCACTCATCTCCTTCAAGAATGACTGTTGAAGCATCCGCGACCAACGATGCTCCCCCTGCGGAGGTTGCCGAAGAGAAGGCCAAGATAGTTGAACAAGTTGTTGATGCCAGAGAATTGGAGTTGCAAGCTGTGATCGGCTTCAAGGGTGCCGTTATTGATGGTATGCAGCTTCACCCAGACAATAAACATCTACTCTACCCACTAGGATGTAAGTTCAGCTGAGGTGTGCCAACATTAAGCCGGGAATGAATGAGATCATCAGGTACAGTGGTAGTTCGCAACCTCATAGAGCGGACTCAAGATTTCATGGTCGGACATGATAATCAGGTGCGGATTCTCGTCGGTTCTCATACACTCGCGCTATGCCAACCCATCAGGTTAACTGCATCACGATCTCCGATGACGGAGCTTTCGTCGCATCTGGCCAGAAAACTTTTATGGGCTTTCCCGCTGATGCGATTATTTGGGACTTTGCCACGAGGAAACCTTTACATAAGCTCAGTTTACACAAGGTCGGTAGTCTCTATTTTGTCCGGTGAACAACGTCCCCACTTGGATGGCGATGACTCAGTGATTCGATTTCATTCTGCGGTCTCCGCTCGTTAGGTGGCCGTATCATCATTGTCATTCTCTTACAACAACAAGTATCTCGCCACCCTCGGAGGTCGTGATGATAACGCGCTAGTTGTGTGGGACGTGAAGTCTGGTAGAACCCGAGGTCGTTCGTATACTCGATCTTCAATCCATTATTCAGGTCAACCCATTTGTGGGACTCCAGCTGCTGCGGACACTGCCCACACCGTGAAATTCTTCCACAATTCGGACGTTCATCTCATATCCGGGGGGAATTACCATATCCGGTGAGACGGGTGGAGAACGGCAGATCTGAAATCTGTGAGCAACGCTTTGAATCTCTTGGTATTCGTCATATTCTCTTTGCGGAGTGGAGATCGCGATGTTCGAGTTGGATCGACCGGGATTGGATATGGCTATCCACACAGGTTATGGCATCTCGATTTGAAAAACAAGAAAATCCATCCGGCTGAAGTTAGCACAGGTAAGCAACGGCAGCTTTTCAGTATCGATATCGGTGTCGTGTCCACATGGGATCTGCGATATTTATTGCCGCTCAGCCGAGGTCTCATGTATCTGATGCTCAGGAAACCTCAAAAGGGTCATCACTAACATCTGCATTTCGAAAGACGATAAGTTGGCTTACTGTGGTACACAGAGCGGCGATATTCTCGAAGTTAACCTCGATGTAAGCAGTACCCGATCGCGAAGTCTTTAAGACTGGTTTTAATTTAGCGCGGAATCTACAAGAGACTTGGACCGCACAAGCAGTGCCTCAGACAAGGCATTAGCTGCATAAGGATTTTGGACGATGGTGACTGTCTTGGCCTAGTGATTGTCATCGGTGATGAGGGCCTCTGTAGGTGATTTGATCGCCGGAAGTGGAGATGGCACTATTGTTAAGATCGAGGCTCGTACTTTCAGAGTAGCAACGAGCTGCAAGGTGAGATACTTGGCTATCCTAATGCTTCCTCTCTGTTACTAGTCTTGAAGCGCGTGATCTTTACCAATACTCCTGTTAGGTACTCGGCTGTGTCACTTCCATTGCCCTCACAGAGGACGCAACACATTTTTTCGCCTCTACCTCGTATAGCAACGTTTATTGGGTCGATGCCAGCCCGCAGGTACAAGTGATGAAATTGTCATCATCAGACCCACTTTGTGTGTTAGGATGCTATGACACCAGAGCTGCGCAATACCTGTCATCATGAGCCTATTAATCAAGTTGTCTTCCCCCATGACTTTTCTGAAGTAGGCCAGAGATGGATCAACCCGTGTTCGATCGACTGTGGTAGGTGTTCGCTACCTGCAGTAAAGAGGAAGTTCGCGTCTGGAATTCGAGGACTAGACAGGAGCTCCTGCGCATACAGGTACCCGTCGGTCCTCTCCGGAATCCCAGCGTGAACGCAGCTTTCTAGCAGGTCCCAAACGTCGAATGCTACTGCGTAGACTTCGCACACGATGGTCGCAGCATCGCAACTGGCTGGCACGATGGTGGGAGTTGCCTCAGCGACCTCTTGTAGAGTTTCCTACTATTTAGGGAAAATTCGAGCTTTCTTGCCACAATCGGGCAAATTGTTGTATGTCATAAATGATGCTCACAAAAACGGTGTTACTGCCATTACCTGCAGTTCCGATACAGGAAGGTAGGTTAACTTCGAAAGTCGCTTCTTTCAATCGACTTTAGGCTGGTGTCCGGTGGCATGGAAGGAGAAGTACGATGCTGGAGGCTAGGGAAGAACGGCCAGAGTCAAGTGATGGAATCGAGCTTAAAGGTGAGTTCCAGGATGTCTGATTTGTGGTACTTTTTATACCTTTGGTTGACAGGAACATCGCGGTAGAGTGTGGTGCATTAGACTCACATCGGATAATACTAAGGCTGTTTCTGCCAGCTCAGATGGGAGTTGCATGTGAGCGACTTTGTGGTAAAGTTGTGGAGTTTACGACGATCTCTCTGCAGCGTGTGGGACCTTGTCTCCCGCACCCGATCCTTGTGCCTTTTCGACTCGACTATGTTCAAGAGCCTAGTCTATCATCCAGACGAGACTCAGCTCGTGACCACTGGCACCGATAGGTACTAGGAGACGATCTGTGGTTATTCTCATGTCTGTTGCATTTTCCAGAAAGATCACATATTGGGATACTTTCGATGGCCAGTCGATTCGTATATTGGAAGGATCAGAAACTGCTGAGTTGTGCACCCTGTCGATGTCCAAGTAGTGAGGATTTAAATCATGTTTGTCTGACGAGGTGTTGACAGGTCGGGCTCCCATTTTGTGAGTGGCGGAGCAGACAGGATCGTCAAGGTGTGGGATTACGACGAAGGTGGATATACTCCATTTATAATCGCTCGAGATCGCCTCAAGATCAATATCCATTCAGGTGTGTGCAACTTATCGGGAGCGGGCCACAGTGGTACAATATCTTCGGTGGCCATATCGCCCGATCAGACTATGATAGTCAGCGTAGGGCATGACGGTGGTATTTTCATTTGGAAGATTCCTGAGGTGAGCTTCGATATCGTTGTAGAGGTTTGCTGACACCGGTCATCCTTAGGGGATATCTGAAAAGTGCTGTGATACGAGTAATCTGTGATGAGCATGAGTGTTATGAATTGTTCATGTTGGCGGATGAAAAGAGTTGCGTATAGAGTTAATCGGAAAACATGGACGCCCGTCGTGTGAGAGAACATTCCTGCTCTTAAGCTGATGTCGCGGAACGCGAGATAACTCACAGCAAAGGAAATGAGGACAAGCAATTGAATATCAATCCCCTGCTGAACACGATATTTCCTTGAACTGCTCGCAAGACCCCATATCAATAGCAGCCAATCGTTGAGGCCAAGCTATGCTGCTAGATGTGTTTTTTAAACTTCCAACACAAGTGAATCAGGTTTCAAGTTTGGAAAACGTGTTAGTTGACGCTGCATGGTATGGCAATGTTACGTGTACTACGTAGCCAGACAATCGATTCAAATGGATACACATGGATGGTTTTGAAACTACTGATACCTAGCTAGTTAGAGCTGATCACAAGCGCAGTGTATGTCAGAACCTTCGCATAAGTAAGGAGGCCCATTGTCCAAGTTACATTGCCCACCGCGAATCTCTGCTTGACAGAAGTAATGTGAGTCTACCACTGAGCAGTTTCCCGATGGGTTGCGAAATTCACGCGGCTCTTCTTCGAAACACCCGCAGAGGTGGCGTGTATCGTAACACATTGGGGGTGTTTGGTCTAGCTGGCACCATGAGCCTGGGCGAATATCCGAACAAGTGGCATGCGCCTCAGCCGCAAGAGCGGGTGTTCCGCAGTACAAGTTATCACCCACCACCGATAGTGAAGTGCCCATCTCCAAGTCAGGTGAGATTTCGTTCATAACGGCGAGAGAACCGTTATCGCCAGCCCGAGCAGGGTTTGTTAACAAGACAGCCACAGTGTTCGTCGCTGTTACTCTAGATAGCGTCGTTTGACCACGAAGATTCGGAGTCAGTGGGGGAGTAACTGACGAGGATAATTCCCTCATTACAAAATAGCTCCACAGTGAAGCCGCCAAGATTTCACGCGAGTTTCACCATTCAAAGGTGAAATTTACTATTCTCATCCTATCAAACGCGAACGCACTATATGAGGAATCATCTCACTTGTAGTTGTCACATTCATCCTTGGACCGTCCCGGATTGGGGGAAAGGTGGCGGTCCTCCCTAATTCGACATAGGGGTTCCACTTCCAACAAGAACTGACCCTGGTGTTATCCCTGCACCAGAAGCAAGCTCCGTCAACACAGTGTTCGATTTTGGTAACGTTGTTCCCACACGCCTGTTGCGACACACCGCAGTTAGCATCGAACTGGCATACATAATAATGCCCACGAGACGCACAGCCAACGAGTTCCACTTGATCAGACAACATGATTCTGACGTCCTCGATATCTCTCGGAGTCCACGTCTTCTCAGCGTCTGGCCGGTTTAGCGAAGTCAGTCCACAGCCATCCTCGCCCAAAGTCTCAAGATATTGAAGATACCAAAACCACACGGCACAAGTCTGGTCGAATTCGCGATATCCGTCTCCACATTGGAATCCACCGAAACCGAATGCCATGGTTGTTCGAGACGGGTCGGTTCTGAGGAATTCCCCTGTAGCGGACAGTCCTTCGGCAAGTAGCAATGCGGTGGCCGCTAAATCTATGTCCCACACCAGGGGTGGAAGCCCGTGGATGCACCGATACAAGTTAATCTCGTCCATCCATCGCTGTTGTGAATCAGTATTAGCGGCAAGTACAGCGGTAGGCAGGAGAGCTACGAGGAGAAGCACGTAGGGATACATACGACGAGCATGAGTCGAAGGGCACGCCAAGGAGTAGGAAAGGATTTTGATAACGGGTACTGAGAAAAACCGACTGATTCGCCACTCAACAGTAAGAGAGAAATAGTGGACAATCATGCTGAAAATGGAGTGAACTGAAAGAAAGTTGACGCTCAGAGAACGAGCAGAAGAACCCTCATCCAGAATAATGCGACAATCACACAACCGATGAGTTTCCAAGTCCATCGGAGACTCTAACATTGCAAGAAGCCTGTGAGGCATCATACTACCTCAATCAAAACACCCGCGGGTCTGGGAGGTAGAGTCAAGGACCGCCAAGTCTCTCCCCAAGTCGTATGCTCCTTGATCTTCTTCACACCCTCTCCCAATAAAGACACACCTATAAAAAACCAGAAGGCAGTTCACCCCCATTGGCAGATAGCTCACTGGGTGGAGACATCACCAGTATTGCACTCACCAAACCCGGCAAATCATGTCCGCTATCACTCACGGCTCTGCGGTGTCCAGCCATCTTTACCCCCCTGTACTCTATCTCCGATAGGCGGATACGTTCCAACACGTCCCTCACCAGGCGTTGCTTCCCACCAGGCGTCCCTCACCAGACTGTTGAAAGTTGTCTCTTCCGCTGTGCAGTTGCAGCAGGGTCAGCGTGCCCACCACCGATAGGCTTCTCTTGTTCTTGCTTCGCGCCGCCTTATCCAATACCTGATCATCTCTATCGCTACTTATCTAGCCTCCCCTATGCCGAACTAGTGTCGGATATCGTTTCGGCGCATTCTTCCTCCACTGGTTTACCATCCACGCTTCCCCAGTCGTCCAAATGAGCTCCATCTGGAGAGCTGCCACCTACCCGGTCAGCAGCTGATGTTGCCGACATTATTACGAGTTGTCTACTTCAGCAAACGTTAGGAGCTAAGACACATAGGAGTCATAGGACCCTCACGAGCACCCAATGATAAGACAGTAGATCACATTTCAAGGCGTGCGCTGACTGCAAAACGTGAGGGAAGGGAAGCGTAGAGCGTAAGATATGGTTGACTTCTCACGTTGGCAACAATCAATCCCAATACTTAAGTTGTCTAACCCGACTTGAGACTAGCGCTCGCTGAAGACTAGTGGTTACTAGCAGGACTTGCTAGTGGTGGCTGCTCAGTTATTGTCCTTATCCGTATCGGTATTATGTCTCATAGGAGCTCCTCTGCTGCCTCAGACCTGCAGACGATTCTTAAGATTACCAGTGCCGTCTGTTTAGTAGCTGCAGCTGGCTACGGCGCCTATAGGGTTTATCGTGGTCATCGGGAGGACTTCGAAAATGAAAGTGATTGCGGCACCAACCAGAACGACGGCGACCAGGCAGCAGCGAACACTCCTGCGGGTCCACCTAAAGGCCCATCGACGACAGAAAGTGATTCCCCGGATGAAGCTGAGGCACCTCCTTCCGCAAGTAAAATTTTCGAAGCACCAGATGAGCTCAAACTGACAGAGTAGTGCTTGTTTTCACCGCACGAACCGAACAGGCTTCTCTCGGCCCTAGGTCAGAGCGTGCACCTACAACTTCGAGCGGCTCGAAATTGAAGACCGAGTTTGATAATTCCTCCAGTGAGAGTGGGAATGGACAGGTTACTGGAGCTGCGACTAAGTACTACTAGCTCGAAGTGTTGATCGGTGTTTTATTTTTGTGCAGCATACGTCAGGGTGGAAGCCTTCTGGACGAGTCACGGTCTTTGAAACGGAGTAAGCAGAAGCTGGTCGACGAGGTGGACAGGTAGGAGAAAGGTGGACACAAGGTGAACTGCTATGGGGCTGATGTCAGTTTATTACGCAATATCGCAGCCCATGGTCAGTACCCACCAGCTGATATGGTCGATCGTCTGCGTGCATTGATCGCTGAGGTACCTCAACGATAGGCACGACTTCATATAACGTTGCCTTTTCGTGAGGTACATGTCCGAATGGGAGAGTCTGGGCTTCGCAACGTTAAACAACTATCCAATGCCCTGTCATTCGTCACCAGTGAATGGCTGTTCTACCACACTCGTGAGTCTTCGCGAGCCTTGCATTCGCGTATTGTTCAACGTCCGGTCAGTTCGAACATGCCCGGAGCTGACATGGTCCGGTGTCTCTGGGTATATGAATCAGGCCTTCACTGACGATAAGGAGAAGGAGATGGCCGATAGACTCGCCAGGACCTTCAAAAGGTAATGCAGTCGTGAGGCATTGTTCTCATGCGTTTGTTCTCATTGTAGGGCATTTTGGGATTTGCATAGGGAAGACCTGCAGAAGCGGCCCCCAGATTACTCCTTCGTTTTCGCCAGGTTGTCGGAGCTACGGTCGAGAATGTGCAGTTTTTTGCCCCAAGTCCGAGCGGATCTGGTATTTTTAGTGGTATTCATCAGTGCCTAGTATTTCAGGCAAGGCAGACTGAGTTCGCCTCTCGCCTGGACCTGGAGCTTCTCAAGCAGCAGATAGAACATCAAGCGTTTGACCGGGAGACATTCGTGCAGGTAAATAGTAGATTGCGTTCTGAGACACTCGCTCTGCTCATTCCGAAACATCATGGCAGTTCTGTATGATCGTGGCATGATTAGAAACGGTTCAGTATTATACCTAAAGCATCAACGACCACTGGGTTAGGGGCGATACGTTGCTCGTTATAGTATCGTCTTCGCAGGTGCTCAGAGTCGTGGTAGACATGTTGTATCGTCTGGAGTCCCCGGCATCACACAAGAAAACTGTTCAATGGTTCGAGGAAGATATAATGAAGAAGCCATCCCTCAGCGAATACGGTTCTGCCGAGGTACAAGTTGTCGCACTAGTATCTTGCGAGTTAGTCTATATTCAGGATGCTATGAAGGCGTTCCACGAGGAGATAGTTGACTCTCTGTCTTTCCTATTCGAGCAGTGTGACGTTTTAGAGGCTGAGCTGCAGAGTTACAGGACTACACAGGTATCACGACGCTTTGGAGCGCACTCGCTGAATCGCGCTGCTATACAGGTCTCGATGAAGGAGAGGAGACAACTTGAATTTGAACATTTCATGCGGGTAATACGTTGATGATCGTATCTTGCCGTGGTCAAGGCGTTCGTCAGATGATTGATGTCGGCGTGGTAGATCTGTCCGCGTCAAAGAAAATGTTTCGTAATGGCCTCTTGAAACTCGGTGACAACGCGCAGAGTATTGTGGAAGCTAGTCTGCAGTCGGAAGCACTCATGCATCAACTGGCGGGCCGGTGAGTTCGACGATATGTGAGAGTGAGCTCTTCTTATAGTAAGCTCATCCGTCAGACTACTCCTCTTGGAACTAGCCGAGTTATGCTGCCATGGCGTTGACAAGGAGACCTTGCATGACAGCCATGAGGTAGTGGAGCTTCTCGCGTTCAGGGAGTCACTTGTTCGTACGCGATAGATACCTGAACCTTTGAGACCCGATACTTCGCGTTTGATCCAGTTTGCTCACGAGTTGATGGCCACGGCTGAGCTTGCTGCGATCGCTGTTGTTCTGCACCAATTCAAGTTATCGTCAAAACTCACGACCAATGTTGCAGTCATGACACGTATGTTCGAAAGACTCTGGAGGGTTATTGAGGCTAAGAGTGTAGGACTGTACGGGTCTTGGTTGGCTGATGTCTCTATCTCAAGGTTCTGGCAACGCTCCCTGAAAAGCAGCTTCCTGGGAGACAGGCCAATAGGGCTCCAGGGGAAAGTAGTTCGGAGTCACAGCATGACGAGACGACCTCTGATGAGCTGCTGCACGAGATAATCACCGCAATGTCTGAGGTAGAAAGCTGTAACCATTGGACCGTGTAAGGCACTGATACCAGGTTGGATTGGACATCAGGACTGAGCTGATTGAGAATGGCAAGATTGACAGGATGATCGTTGCACTCAACGGGTGACTGAGGTTCATTTGCTCGTTTCCTGTGGAGTGTGGGCTTCGTCAGATGTCAGCGAGATATTGAGAAGCCGTCGACTCAACAAACTGCGGTTATACGACTGCTTTCCTCGAGGGTTCAGAAGTCGTTCGAAGCTGCACTCGAGAAAGCGGGTGAACCTTCGTCCCGTGTGTCCGGGGCTACATCAGCCTCGACGGCCAGTGGAAGTACTGAGGCTGCTACTGCATCGGATAGTGGTGGTGAAGGTAGAACGATGTTGCTGCACTGGAGAGGAAGATGGAACGAGGGTGTCATTACGACTCAGTTCCGAAAAGTCCGAGGACACCTCTTGCACGCGACTCACCCGCTAATACGGAAGCTGCACGGGAGCGTCTTGCAATGCTGTTACTACCTCGTGGATGCCTAGGTGATAACCAACCATCGTGGTGTGAGGAAATCTCGAATGTTCTCATGTTGCCAGGAAGCCAGCCATGGACGCTAGCGTTGGTTGAAGGCAAGATGCGACAGCTCTTACAAGTCTTCTTGTCGTTCGTCGGGGACCATATGTGTGTGTAAGTGTGTACTACCAGTTGGTTCATCAGACGGCTATTCAATGCTCGGCTCAATCGGTTCATTGCTTGAGATACTGTGATATGGGCAGCTTTGTCTTTGCTAGTTACGCGCCGATATATGTGCAGACCTTCCGGGCTGAAATTGAGCGAATGCATCAAGATCGAGACCGTCTTGGTAACGTTACGAGCGAGTCGGGGTCGGGTATAATACGACACAGAGGAGGTGGAGAATGGCAGTTGATATGTGGTTCATCATTAGCACCCTTCAGGTTCGGTATAGATCCACTCTGATCGATTTATCTCAGATCGTATGATTACTCTGTACTGCTTCCCTTATGGTGTTAAATCCTCTATTTTGTCTCAGATATAATATAATTGAGTTACGGATTGATACTCCTTTCGCTTCGGCAGTTTTATTTTTCTTACTCTCACCCAGCATGGGGAGCATGTTCAGCGTGGTTCCGCGCAATTTTCAGTCGAACAAAAAACTGGTCGTTGTTGGTAAAAATAGCTTCTCGGATTCATCTCACGATGCACGATGATTAACAATCAGGTGGAGGCTATGCTGGACAAGGCGCCACCATGTTGGCACAAGATCTTTTTGCGGGAGTAACACAAATCGAGGCGCGCTATGCTGGTTTGGTGCACAAGGTGAGAGTTGCGCCATCGTCACGACCTGCCATTCCAGGTCTTGTTCAGATTGGTGGGGTCCGTGCTTGCGTCCGACCAGAGTGGGGTAAGCACATGGTCATCCCTCAGGATACCTTGTTCAAGTCGAACGTTCAGCAGATTTTTAAACCTGTAATACTAGCTTTGTGGTGCTCGTGGGTATGGACCTCTCCTAGGCGGTTGGACTCGATGTAGCAAATAGCGCTGTACTCGTGGACGGTGGTCAAACCGTTCCTTATGACTATTTGGTCATCGCTACTGGCGCCGTCAATAGTGGCCCTGCTGATCCTCCCGTCAGTAAGTCTCAGGCCAGGTTCGGACTATAGGATCATAGTTCTTCCTATTAGCACACACCATGACCAAGCAGATTCTCGACTTCTACGAGGAAACCGCCAGAGCCATTGAGGAGGCGAAAGACATAGTATAGCGGTGACTGTTGTGGGGTGCGGTATCGTTTGCATGTAGATGTTCATTGGTGGTGGGCCTGTGGCTATTGAGATTATCGGGGAAATAAACCAGAAGTATCCCAGCAAGAAGCTGAGTATCATCACGAAGGGGAACCGAATCCTCCAGCCTGGAGCTCCCAAGGGCCACGAAGGGTAGGCAGTTAATATTTTCTTCTCGGTGTGCGAACCTGTCCTCTCCCAGGTTTTTACCGTCGGAGTTTATTTCCCAAGTCGAATCTGAATTAAAGGAGCTTGGTGTAGTCAACGTTGAGCGGCTCTGCATTGTTGATGTATTTATGTGACAGGTCTATATTCGATCTGGGGTCACCACCAAGAGCATTACTAAAGAACAGTTCAAGGGCAAACCTTTCCTCAAAAGTAGTTGCAGCTTTGATGTCGAAGTTTTTCCATTCTCGCTCCATAGAGCCCGGCGTGGTTCATTTCTCTGACGGAAGTTCAGCAAATCCTGACCTGATATTCTGGTGCACGGGGTAGGTCTACATCATTACGGGAGGCTGGTTGGCGATGCTTCTCGTATGAAAGGTCAGAACCCAACACCAGTTGGCTCCGTGACAGTGCCGGTTTTTCTGATGATACTTTCGATCAACGTGGACGGGTTAAAGTCGATGACTACCTTCACGTGAGAGTCTCCCTCGATGCAACGGCTGATAATCGTTGGAATCTCAGGTGGCTGGACATCAGAACATCTTTGCCATTGGGGATTGCAACACTGTGAGTCTCGAGTATGTTGAGAATCTTTGGTGAGCAGCTTTCAAGGTTAACGAAGAGAAGATGATGGCCACTGCCGGCACTTATGTGGGGAAGCCCCCGAACTGGCCTAAAGGTCAAGCTGACACGGCTCTAGAGAACATAGTCCAGCAAGAGCTGGGCTCATCGCCGAGAATGTAAGCCTCATCATCGTGTGACAGCAGTGACCGTGTTAGTGCAGGTATCGGCGTCCAGATATCATCCATATGGCGATAACACTCGGCCACTTGCGTGGAGTAACTACTGGGGTAGTAAGGGTCTCTCTTTGACTCGAATTATTTCCGTGTTGCTATTAGCTTCCTGCTCCAGCGGCTCAGCTGAAGAGTGAACAGTTCTTTGTTGACAAGCAATGGCACTTGGCCAGGAAGGCGGAACCGCATCTCTACAGACTAGATCCTGCCGAAAAGATCGGCCATCACTGAGAATCACAGCATTCTGCCGATAATCTGGGTAATTTCTCTAGTGAAAACGTTCATGATATCACTGAGTACACAGCCCTTTACATGTCTTGTCGCTGATGAGTATGTGGCGCATCGTCATTTGTTGCTAGAGTGGTCGTAGTTTTGTTCGTGGTTGGGGCTCATTGTTGCGCTTGGTGTCGACAATTTTCGGGTAATGGGTAGAGGCTATCACTAGTTGATCCGGCAGACTGGCGATACATGTAATCTGTAGTAACACGATCTTGGTGACCTCCCCGTTGGGTCTGAGATCGAGCTGCACGTACCTCCAGCTTTACTCGCTGAGATTCGGCAGTGCGAGTGTGTATCGGAGTTCAACATTTTCATTTTGGATATCTTCGAACTCGAATTCCACTTCAAGAATTACTCCTCTCGGACCTATCTGTCATCGACGGTTCTGCGTGTAGCCGATTATGGCTCAACGGAGATATTGCAAGTAGCTGTAACATCCTCCCTTGCATCTAGAGGCGGCTCTCATCCACCCGCTGACGTGGCACGATGATTGGTTCATGTGGATGATGACGCACAGCGAATTCTACATATTGGGGGTATCGTATCTGAGGAAGCGTCCATGTTAGAGGGACGTCACTGGAATTTAAAAGGGAAAATCCCTCTCGTGGGGGATTCATAACAACCTTGGTGATGTTGGGGATTACCACCACAACCTTCCGGATCGCTTCCTGGGAAAAGTTATGAATAATCGCTACTAGGGATTCGCTAAGCATAGAATCTAGACGCTCAATACATCCTCACCTACTGTCAGCTCTTCTGCTACTTCTATGATGATTATCGTTCTGGATCTCGGGATGGAGGGAGATGCTAGAGAGTAGGTATTTATCATGTCACGAGGTGGTTGTCATCATCGAATAGCTCGATGATTCGCGTTCCAATCATGCGTGGTTCTGTGGATTGGCGTTACTCCTCCGTTTCATCCCAAATTATCCCCTTCAGGCCACGATCTCCTTTATGGAAAATTGCTCTCCGGCGGGCTCCTCATGTTGGACTGTTCGCCATTTGTATCTGGTGAGTCCAAATCTACTCTCAGCGTATGCAGATGGCGGATAACTGTCGTAGGTTCAGCATTGGGCCGGAAACTTCTTGGGCTGAAGTAGTCGAAACCATCTTGAGGACTTATCTGCTTTGGAGAGTTATAGATGAGCTATCTTTCTACATGTGATTGTGGATGGCATTTGTAGTTCTCCACCCGTAGCTGCGTGATCTCAAGGTTTTCAAGGGGAATACAGTAGTGAGAGGCCGTGTGAATGCTCTGTGAATGGTTGCCACTTCCATGATTGATAGGTTACTGTATTCAAGCGGTAGTTCTTTCAGGATGGTGTGGTTCGCTGCGCGACGTGCTGTTAGAAATGCAGGGATGAATCACTTGAGAGAATTTCGCAAGACCGTAGAACATAAGTAAGTCTATAGCCTACGATATTGAAGGTCATCATTGATATAGCGCCGTTGGGATGGAGGAGTTAAGAAGACAACGAGAGTCGCGACTTTCGTCATATGACAAGGTACCTTCTGATTGTCGTAACGAACAGAGGTAGGGGCGTTAAGCCTTATTCACGAGACATTTTTTCTCAGCTGTGCTATATGCTTGGCTTACTTCAAGGAAACAGACTTATGTCAAATCTTACCATGCAAGCACGTGTATCATGACGACTGTGTCAATGGTGAGTCACAGAACCGCCGAGTTCGAAGGATTATCTTCTCCTTTTCAGAATGGCTCAGACAACACTCGAGCATTTGCCCCCTTTGTACCAGGCCGGTCCTACCCACCGCGTCGAGCCATCATTCCGCATAAATTAACCTACCTCAATGATTCTGATGAGTTTGATTACCACGTTTCACACTGTAGACTGTTTTGTTAATGAACTGTACACTTGGCTGGGCCGGATCGAGAATCTCGATTTGAGAATGATATATTATATCGGGTCGTTAGACGCGAATGACTCAAACGAGATGATCGAACAGAAGGTACCACATTGATACGAAGGACGAGCAAAAATGCATCAGCAAGTCCCTGGCATGCTACCTACGCCTGATACCGATTCTGTTCCCTTTCAATCGGCAGTATTTGAGAATCCCTCCAGAGGTGCAAGTTGGAGTAGATACGCTCGAGTTGGCTCTTGGACTTGGATATCCATTCATCATGCGCTAACCGAATGAACGGAGCTCAGATTGTTCGTGATGGCAGCGGGTTCGATTCCAGACACGGATATCTTTCCGAACGTTCTACGTTTCCAGATAGCGAGACCGCACCACAGTCTTCACCAAGACACGATGCATGGTGTGAATGAGTGCATTTCCGTAGTTTCCGCAAGGTTCATGTATTACGCTCCAGCTTATGGTAAGTGCCTGGAGAGCTCAGCTGGTAGAATCGTAGAGAAGTGATTTGAACGGACGAACAAACTCACAGAAAAAGCTTATAGTAGAAGTCTGCTCGCTTTACTCGCTCCGCAACTACGCGGTATCGAAGTCATCATTTGTGTTTGTACTGTTTGTGGCCTACTGAGAATCACCCAGCAAGATGTCTGTAAGAGGCATACCCTCAATCCCTGCTCAGATACTGCTAATCCCTCTTTAAGTAATTCTGTTAGCTTTGGCCAGTTGTAGTCTGGCGCGCGCAACTGGCGCGGAGTCATTGGACATAGGTTACAAGGGTTACATGTCACGGGTTACAGGTCACGGGTTACAGGTCACGGGTTAGAAGGGTTACAGGTCACGGGTCACAGGTCACGGGTTAGAAGGGTTACAGGTCACGGGTCAGGTCACGGGTCACAGGTCACGGGTTCCGGGTTTTAAAAAAATCTTGAGCACTTGAGAAATCTTGCGATATCGCCACTACACTTGTGCACGATTGCTCTGTTCGTACTGATTCTTTGCTTCGTGTTCATCGGTCCTTCGTGTCGCACAGCATTGAGCATGGCCCAAGAAGGGGAGAAGTGATACTATCATGGGGTCTCGAAATATCGCTGTAGAAAAGAGATGATTCACCCAGGATGACCTATGTACTTGCGTGCTCGCTAATATCTCCCCCGCAGACGAGTTACATCTACAAGGATTTCTCTTGCCTACCTCTATTCTTGTAGTTGTCTTAGTTGTTCGTAACCGATGGGAAGTAAACTTTCATGCGGGCCTCTGTGCGGGAAGTTTAAACGGAAGAAGAACGTCAACTCGGTGCCTGTGGTCGATCAGCCAGTCGGTGGTGACACGACAGCATGCAATGTCTGCCATCAGCTCAATCCAGTCGGGTAGGGCGGTCGATGGGTAAAGAGTTTCTTGAGCAGTGTACATTCCTCCACAGGTACAATGCTAATGTATTTGTATGTGGTACGTGTCGGTCAGTTAATAGAATCCATCGATATGGTAATGGTGAGCGAAGGCTGAGCACCGTTGAACCGACTCCAAATAACGAGGTACATTTCTTTCTCCCTCAGGGTTAATAGTTAAGACGGTATCAGATACGCCTACTGAGGCACAGTTCGACAGTTTTCGCGCTACCCGACATTAACAATGGAAGAACGTATCCTCAGCCGAGCGGACCTGATGACAACACAATACCACCGTGCGCAGTCTGCTTGGATAATCCCGGAGACATTGTAGTGTTTTCCTTGTCGGAATTATAGTAATGCTCCTGCTTGGTCCAGGTAACTCTGCCATGCTGTCATGGCGGTCTATGTGAGCCTTGCGCCCTCCATATCGCAAGCAACGAGGCCGTTGGTGGAGCATGCTGTCCGAAGTGCCGCGCTAATATCGACAAACTGGTAGTACCTGGTCGTAGGCATGATTTCTACTCGTCTTCAGAGAAGTCTTGTTGTGGACATTTATCATCATCAGGTGCGTTTGGCTAAGTTGGGGGACCCAATTTCTACCGGTGTTGAGCTACCAATCCCAGCATCAAGCAAGAATCGACCAGCCCCTAGAGTTCCAGCTCCTCCAGGATCTAAGAAGAAGGTAGGAGTGTGACGCTCGGTGTTACTTTCATGTGTATTGATATTGGATTCTCCTTCAGCATGGGAGCTAACCGGTGTATATGCGGATAAACTGCTGCTTATCTTCTACCTATAAATCACTTTACTGAGTAGTAATCCGATACCACCAGCCAAGGTTAGTATTGGTAGAAAAACTGGTAGAATTTTAACGATCCCTATCACTGCTCGTTGGGAGTCGCTACTACGATTCTGAGTTCCCTTGTACTTCTCTTGTTATTTTCTCTATACTCGACGCGACTTCCACTGATCCATAGTTTCATAGAGAGTTCATAGATGCTTGGGCAGTGTCGATACCCCGTACTGTACACGTGATTAGACTGTGAACTTGTCTTGGAAGGTCTGGAGGTGGATTAAGTCGTAGAAGAGTGATACTTGCTCCCATCCCGCTCTCCACATTGTCAACTGTTGGATACTATTCTCGTACGACAGGTCTCGTTCGATCTTCTTTTGCTTGAAACGTTCTGCGTTATGGGTAGCCGGAAAGCTCAGAGGTTTAGATGCTTGGAAGATTGTTTGGGTTTCATATGAACAATGGACTCAACGAACGCTGTTATATGTGATGAAGTCCTTGAGCTTCTGCAAAAGAAGGTTGTACGGAAAATGAGACTGGCGTCGCTCTTCATGCACCTGGTTCTTTTATCTCCTGTCCGATTCAAGGTTATCCGTTTATCGGAGTCGGATTCATAGGCCGCTCGAGCGTTCTTGTATCGGTAGCACATAGGATCTGAGCCACCGGCTCGGTAGAAACGTTGAGTGCCATAGATTGGTTGCGAGGGAGGCGGAAAGACCGACGAGTTCAGTATCCGCATTCTGTAGTACGCAGTGGGATTGATTCGGTAGAATTTGAGCAGTGTGGCCACTGTACTCCCGGGAGGGTGTGAGCCAGGCCTGATCCATGCGTTTGCCTTACCGGGTGACCTCTCCGTTGTCCTTAACTGAGTCGACTGATATCGGTAGCATGAGATATTGTGGCGACCTAGGTCCAATCAGTTCTCGTCTGTGTGGCAACTTTTTTCTACGGAGTACGCACAGAATAGATGACACGCCTTGGCGGTTGGTCATAAGTGTGGGAGTCATGACACAATCGAAACAGGCAGAAGCCGGTCACTTGAAGAGGAGTAGCCCGAGATGGATCACTTCTTTATATATCGCGGTTGCGTTAGTGGGATGGCAGTCTGAGTAGGGATTGCATGGTGTGGAAAAGTAAATTAGAGTTTTCCAGAAGTGTCACTATCTCCGATGGTGTGAAGAGGAGCAACAACTCGGAATATGTTGCGCCACACATGAGAGAAGCCGTTCGATGAAAATGTGAAACGGTTTGAGCGAAGGATTTGAGGAATCCGTGAGGGTGTGGTAGTGCTTGACGACAAGGAATATCATGCGCTCCTGGCAATGTGCACTTGATTCGAGCTCACAGTACTGTCTTCTTTCTAGCCTCTACTTGAACTATGGCAACAACAGCAGGCTGCCCTCATTGCGGATCGTTAGACTCAGAGTAATGTGGGTGTAATGTAATGGTGTCGATTTGTTACTCTCTTTTGCTCTCATTCAGGACGGATTCCCGGACGGGACAAACAGTGTGTCTGGGGTGTGGTGAGGTGCTCGAAGAGAACAGAGTCGTCTGTGAGCTGAGCTTCACTCAAAGTGGTGACCGGACGGGCGTTAATGGGCAATCCGTCCCATGGCTGGGTGGGGGTGGTCGCAGAGGAGGGTAATCACGTGAGCTTGGAGTAGTCGTTCTAGACTGTTATGGTCAGGTACTCGAGTGAGAACTCGAGACTGTTGACCCTCCAGAGAGGTTCTACCAGAGTGAGGAATTTACCTTTGTTTTCTGCGTTAACCTTGCTCATGATTAGATTGAATGGATTGGTAATCGGCTAGAGCTCCCCACGAGTACGATGGATGAAGCCAAACGACTGTTTTCCTTGGCTGCTCAACGAAACTTTACCGCTGGCCGGAAGACGTCGGTTGTTGCTGCTGCTTGCCTGTAAGTATCTACAGAGATGTACCTTAGTTGAAGTCTACGTCTTAGATATATCGTATGCCGTCGTGATCGGACACCTTATCTTCTCATTGACTTCAGCGATGTCCTCCATATCAGTGTCAGGGAGATCGGACAGATGTAGTACTCGATATAACTTTCCATGTATTCGGTCTCACGAGTAACGTTAATGGAGAAGGGTTCTTGCATAGCAGTTCTTGCAAGGTACATGAAGCTCGTACGGCTGCTTAGTCTCGACAAGGTTTTGGATATTCCAGTAAATGATATACATATATATTAAGGTGCTCACATCGCATCGGCAGGTCATAGACCCGTCCATGTTCATGGAGAGGTTTTCCAGTCATCTGGGACTTGGTGATAAACAGAATCAAGTTGTGCATACCGCTATTCGACTCATACAGCTCATGAGCCGAGACTGGATATGTATTATAGTACTCCGCTATCCGCCGGAGATAAATGTTTCCCTTGAAAGGTACTGGTCGCCGTCCAACTGGCCTTTGTGGCGCAGCGCTCCTAATCGCAGCTCGTTATCATGGAGTTGAGGATGTCACTGCAAACTCAGTTGCTGGAGTTGTTCGGATAGGAGCAGTTACTCTGAAAAGACGACTGTGATAACTGGGACATGGCAGTATTCTTGGGAATGATTTGCTTCACTTTGATAGTTACGAGCTGAAGCACACTCCGACCGCTGCGTTAACGACGGAGCAGTTCAAGTCGCTGGAGAACGCTCCTGACCCAGCTGATGGTACGTTACCTGGTGGGGACTCTGTCCAGGAAGCCGGTGCCCATGGCCAGCTGCAGATGGCTTTGCCCGAGGAGGCTCGCGCCACTACTAGTTTACCACCGAGCTTGGTAATATCTGATTGTGTCCCTATTCTTAGCTGGACACCTGACCTCATCACTCAGATGCGCAACAGGATCAAGGAGGAGAAGATGAAGCTGCTTGGGCTACCACTGAAGGATGAGTCTAAAATCGTGAGTTTTCTTCCAGAGGCTCAGCCTTTGTCGTGTGAAAATATCATGTTTGGCAGATGTGATGCCTTCAGATTATTCCAGTGAAGCCTCTGGGGACTCAGAAGAGCCTCGAAAATGGAGAGCCAGAAGTTCAACATCCTCAACTCACCGATATGGATCATAACGAAGCAGGGTCCAGCCAGGCGAACCCGAGCAGTAGCAGCAGTAGCGATCCCGCGGAGGGCACGACTGAGGGAGAGCTGCCAGAATGTAGTACATCTGGGGCATGGGGCGCCGTCCCCGGGACGGTGTCTAGGGGGAATCTTACAGAAGTTATGAGCAGTACTCGAGAAATAAGTGCATGTTCATCAAAAACCATGCTTGTCGATAAGAAAGTAGGTATGCTCGGATAGTAGTCGAATTGATCACGTGCATGTGAGCATGTAGCGAACTCCGCCGCACAAGTCGTTAATATCACGTACCTTTTAGTGGATGAGCTGTACAATGCTCTACGGTCAACATCTTCTTCGGGTGTTGAGACCGATGGTGAACTCATCGCGAAGTTGGATACAGTGGCGGGAAGGACTGCTGCAGCTAGCGAAGACGCGGATCCAAGCAGCTTGCTGGAAGAGGACGCTAAGCAGAATAAGCGGCCACTGGAGGAAGATGAGGAGTCTATATCTGATGTCAGCGACTCCGAAATTGAAGGGTATTAGTGACAGGAAGGGACAGAGCGTCTATTCTGGTGCTCGGATTGAGGGACTCATTTTGTGGTTAGGTACCTTCTGACGCCAGAGGAGTCAGAGGCAAAATCGGCCATCTGGCATCAGTGGAACAAGCCCTACCTAATGGAATGGGCTATAAGAGATGAGCAGCGGAAAGCGAAGAGGAGGGCCGAGGATGAAGCTAAACGGAATGGGACTTACAAACCTAGGAAGCGTCCGATCCATTCGGCTCGTAAGGCAGAGTAGAGTGAACCTCCGAATAGTTTTCTACTCTCAGCCATGGGACCAGCGGACTCGGCGTTGGAGGCGACTCAAATGGCTCTGTCAAAGAAAGCTCGATCGCTGAGCAATCGCGTCAACATGTCAGCGCTGGAGGAGCTCTTCAAGAATTAGCATCATCACCGTCCAGACAAGCTCCTAATCCGTGTCAGATACTAGCCGAATCAGAATCGTTATTACCGTTTTGTATTATTGAGCTCCTATTTGCAGCTTCCACTTCGCTGTATAGCTTTCTCAGTCATACCGGACTACGTCTGAACTGTACTCTTGTTATCCTTGTTACTTGACTATCACAACGTCATCTCGCGGGTATCCGCTTTCGCTCCGCTAATGTGTTGCGCACAGGGGAGAGACGATAGATCGACATGGTATTAGGACGTCATCGTCAGCTGATGCGTACATCAACCGAGCCGCTGATTTCCTGTCTAAGTGTGATAACGAAGCAAACGGGGAAGGCAGCATGGGAATGCTGCTCAGGTAGAAAATCGGACTATCGATGCTATCGATGTGTTCGTTGTGTTTGTTAGACGGTTCTCTCGGTCCCGTTCGGGTACTGAACAACTTTCTGATCGTCTCTCATGTGGTTCCTCGGATCTTGAAGAAGTTGGTATCAATCGTTCCGTCAGCACCCAATGTGATGTTCATCAGTTAATGTGATGGAATGTTCCGCCAGCACTTGCAGCGATTGGTAACCGTTAGCCGCATCCCACGAGTCCATAGTTGAATCTCCGAGATCTCAGCCGGTCTCGGACTCGATACTAGTTATCAGGAGGCTTGATCGACTCAGAGGTGGTATGACCTCATTGCGGCATGCTCTAGCAGTAGACTCTCAGTCGGGAGTCTCGAGAAGTGATATTGTAGTCAGCCCCTCCGCGCGGCGGTTCCGAAAATCGTAAGCCACCTGGAATGGCATGCCTGACTTGCCTTGGAGGGCGTGCCGCCAGTCGAGAGATACTTGGACGATCCAGCGGAATAGTTTCAGTGAACGAAGCTGATGGCGGCCCGTCGAGATCATCATAGAGGAATATCTATATCATGCTGATGGTTGGGACGAGAGCAGTGAGGTGTCTGACGTTTTCCCATCACATTTTATTTCTATGATTTGCGTTGTGACTACCAGTTTATGCTCTAGAGTGTGTAGCTCTTACAGTGTGCTGTGGAAGGTTTCTCAGTTGTGTGCTTTATGTGATCATACTTGCTTCTCAGTTGATGCCTGTCAATTAATTTTTCATCTAGCATAGTGTGGGATTCTCCAACCAATATAAATCGAGCAGCATGTGTCCCTGATTGGGCGATTGTTCTAGGTGAGGACGACAACCGACGACATTCCATTCGCGATGCACCATGGTGTTATCAGGCCCAGACAATTGTCCCTACGGCAAGGTCATCACTTTGCCATTCTCATCATTCACATGGCCGAATAGTCCAGTACCGGCGGACTATATTGCAGCATGTGATGAACAGTGTCCTAGAAACTCGAAGTGTGATGCTGCTGCCTTCAGTCTATTCTAGCGTCTTGTTTGCTTTCCTGGTCTTCGCTGTTGGTGCGGCATTAGTGAAGCGTAGCAAGTTATGGTTCGAAGTGAGATAACGATATCACATCTCAAGCTTCATATGGGCCTGACTTCAGTTAGTGGTACTTTTTTTCTCATCGTGGGCCGTGCAGAATATCGCAAAGAGAATTGCGGCGATGGGACGTCCGAGAGGATCGTGCCACATAACGTGAGCATCGGTATTTGAGGTCCCGTGAATACTGCTGCAGGTGTGGAATGCCATCTGGACATGCTTTGATGTCCACGGCTATCATGGTATTGCTTTTACTGCGTTGCGGTAGCCTGGAATCAAGCGATTTAGCGTTGAGGTGGAGGACAGTGGAATTCAACAATATTAGTTTGTCCAGAATGGTATGCGCCTGGTCCTGGTATTCTAAGCGAGGTTTTCGAGCAGGTACGGCTTTTTCCCAGGTATGCGTTGATCATTCTCATCGTCTTCCTCCCTGTTCCGTGGAGCAGGGCACAACTCAATGACCACTCGGTGTTGCAGATAATTCTAGGATGCAGTTTTGGGGTGCTCCTCGGTAATCTCCCGTTCCCATTGTTGCTTAGACACCTCAATTCTAGGTGTTTGCTGGTATTTCTTACCGATAATCAACAGCAGATGTATTGCACGAAGGTACTGCTCATCTAAATTATTGGCATCCTCATGATGATTTTCAGAGTCATCGAGCACCACGAAATGTGCGAGCCTGATGCAGCGCGAAACCGGGTTGAAGTATAAATTGTCGGTTGTCATTTCAGTAAATGTTTTGTTCCGAGTTATCATAGGGTCGTCCTGGTTTCCGCAGCAAAGCTTACAAAACCCAACAGCAGGCATACGCGGCTTGCACGAAGATCTAATCAAGATCCGAAACCAATAAACTCATTCGGGTTTTGTCACTTTTTCTGCGACTTGGAGGTTTGAGTCAAGGTTACTAGTAGGGATCAGTAGTCGTCAGACCCACACCGCATATTATCTCATAGCAATAACGAGCTCAAATGGAGTCATGGAGCCGCTATTGTTACGTGGCTGCGAGGATATTAACGATTCGAGAAAATACAAGCAGGAGTCAGAGATGATACGATATCGGATAACCGATGTCCGATAGAAGGAGAGCGAATTGGTTACCAAGCTAGTGGAACGCACTACAGAAACGCAACTGGGACATGTGACACGTCAGACAGAGTTGGCTATCTTAACCGTTGAATACAGTTCAACCTCATTCATCATTTGCATAAATATAAATGATGCCAGAATGAGCGGACAGTGCTATCACAATCCCGCAAGGTTGATCGCTAACCAGCGATAGGCAAGACACAAGAGAGTAGGACTAGAGAGTTGCAGGTCGAGAATAAACGCGCGCGATGTGGGAACAAGACGTGGCTGACAAGGGAGATCTCATGTGTCGCAAGTATCATCGGTGATGTGTGTTCTGCAAGTTTCCACCGTATAATCGGTGATGGAATCTTGATCAACACGGAGTGGCCTATACTGGGTGAGGTCGCTAGCGTCATTTTCTTCGACTGATGCGTCGGTGTGGTAAGGATATCGTAGATATTGTGGTTGATTCTGTGCAAGAAACTCCATGATTATCGAAGATATCACCAGCACGGAGCATTTAACATACCCGAATTGGCAATCCACGCAATCAATAGCTAAATCGATCAGGCCATTCTGGTTTTGAGGAAATATTGTATTGTAATAAGTATCTTTTCTCAGGCAAATTAGTAATATAAGCATTTGTCACTAACTAACTAGTGTTTCAGACTGAAACCTTATCAAGGCTCAGATATAGTTATGAGCTATCAAACGCTAAGATTCTTGTGATACTTCTCTTCCTTCCTACTCTAGCGTATGCTTTGTGATTACCGTATTGATCATACGTCAAGAAGTCAAGTCAAGAACTGCTTGTTAATCACTTGAGTTGTACAACAAACAGAGTGATTGGTCAACAAACAGAGTCATTAACAAGCATTGCAACGACTATGCCCCTGTTTGAGACAGAGGTCATAGTCGTTGCAATGGAGAACGTGATGCCAACTCGCTCTTCCGTGTATCGGTAGCATGCTTGACATATAAGCCACGAATGAAGTGACGAACCGCTGATGACGTCCTTCTGGAATAGGGATTGCGGACTCGATAGGATCACCGTATTCGAATCTGCATCTCAGCTGATTCACACTGCTACAACACGAAACAGTTAAGCGAGCTATCCTGAAACTGGTATTAAACTCTGACAGAAACTACGGCACGAGTTCTAACAGCTACGTGAATACAACATCCTCCCACTTATACAATGAGTAATCAGGAGTAATGTTTAACGAATGCAAGTGATCACTATGACGGGCGCCTATGTGCAGGAAAGTATGCAACATGACCAGTGAAGAGTTCTCTGACTTCATCTTCGATGGCCTTATTCCCCGAATTCACTAGCTCTGATATCCTCGAGCGTAACTGATACGATCGACATTATCAATGAGCCATGAAGATGTACCCACCATTATGGGAAGCGGTTGCTGCTGGCTCTCAGCAGCTTTCTGAAATCTTCGAGTCTCGGAGGGTTGTCAAAGTCAAAACTCTTCAAACTCGGCAGATTATCTCGATATCTTCGAAAAGCATGCTTGACGGAAGTTTCATCTAGATATTCGACTCGAGCCTGAGCGACAAGATAGAGAACAACCTAGCAACTACCGACATAACCTTGTCCAATAAAGATTTGGGAGCCTCAACCAACTGGTCGGGTCCAACTTCCAACATGTGCGCGATGGCTTTGAAGTCTTCCAATACAACCACAGCCGCCACATTGCCAGTGGTCTACAATAATAAAGCTCGACTGGCTCCTCCCAGACTAGTATACTGACCCACCAAAGCTTCCTTGTTCCACCATTCTTCAGCTTGCTGTAACGACCTCTCGGTAACATGAAAGTCGGTCAATACTTTGTTTTGGCTCGCATGCAGTCTGTGTCCTATAGAAGGGAACCTGAAACGAACTTTACGTAACGATTCCCCTGCACATGAATCACCATGCATGATGCATGGTGATTCATGTAGAGGTAGATGCATGATGCATCTATCTCTCAGCTACTGATGAGATAGGTTCTTTATCTTTGGCATTCATCTTAGGGAGCTTGCGCCCCTACGTGCATCGAAAGTGCTCTACAACTGAGCCAAACGTAAGGTGGTTTACCTCCAGTTCTTTGCTAGCGATCCAGCATTCGACGGAAGGTGCCCATAGTTCATCGAACAGTGCTAAGCCGAGACACTGCGATACACGCGAAATCAAGTCGGCCCATCCACAGTGAGCTTCCCGACCAAGGACGTGTGAATAGCTCGAGACCGACGCCGCATCGCCCGGGCTGCCTACATGAGGCGAAATGCTTCCGAGCTGACACTCGGTAGATGGCTTACTAAGGTGATTGCAGTAAGAATCCCCATCATGACCGCGACGCTGATGGTTGCGCGGCCAGCCAGTTGACTCGACATATATTACAATGATTTACACTGGAGCTGATATCCCTATACTCCCTAGGATTGTATCACTCAGAAACACCACCACAAAGTCATAAGTATCACTTTTCATAATGAGCACTGAAGACCTCATATTACACGACGAACAGAAGTATCACATGCGATCCTCAACAGGACTTCACGTTACGAGCATCCATACATTTGCTAGGGAAAAACCACTTGCTGACACTCAAGCCAGCCACATCATGGAGTTCAATCCTCATTGGTCCATCGAAGGTATTGCTCTTGCGACAATGATTTGCCGTCGCCTACTTAAGCCAGTAGGTCCTGCACAGCAGCTGACACCGACTCTTAGTGGCTATAGACCACTAGTATTCGGGCGTCGGTAGTGGTGGTAACTAGGAAGTTGTTGGCCGCCATAATCTCGAACAACCCGTCCTCATCCAGCTTCCCACTATCGGGATTCTTATAGGCCTCAAGAGTTTCAACTGCCTTCGAGTCCTCACGCAGAGTACTCTTCAAAACATGTGTATCAAAGATTCTAAACATAGATCCGGCTAGATAGCGCCGTAGAGGAACTGTGTCAAACTACTTCATATGGTGGATGAACTCAGCGAAATCGATAAAATTAGACTGATCCTCATCCCATCTAAAAACCATGCTCACAGTACACGGCCAGCGACACCAACCAGCTACTCTCGCCAAAGCTGCATAGCGTAGGTATGTAGAGACTTCGGAGGCACTGTACTACCAACCTGGCCAAGTATGGAAGTCTACTTAGCGATTTCGGGGACAAACAAATACAGACAGTCTCAATAAGGGTGGTCAACTAGGCTACCTTGTTCTTAACTATCTTCATGAAGTTGTTCACGTTGATCAACCCTCCTTTCGACAGCTCATCGAAAGGTCTGCGCCAAGCAATCAGTTCATCTCCCCTGATACACCGCTGGTGGGGCGGAAACGTAACATAGTTACTGGATATTACTTATACTTCGCATATTCACTCCCCAACCATGCTTACTGGAACCTATAAAGATACTGGCAAGCGGTAATTAGAGCCTTAGACTTCGAATGTATCATACACAGTGTATAATGAGACAGCACTTGGACTCCTCATCGAACAATGCCTTCGAAATTTTAAGTCGGGCTCCATTGCACATGGCATTATGTCGATATTAATCGGCTGTGATCGATTAAAGGTTTTTATTGTAATTATCAATGAAGCATGTCCTCGCCTAGATATTGTTCCTCTACTGGTAATAGTCCTACTTACGCCGATGGCAATAAAAAGTCTACTAGTGCTAGTAATTGGAGTGATCTCGAGAGTCACTTATTGGTCCAAAGATGCGGCCTGAGCTCGACGGTAGATTGTGATGGTAATGGTATCATCGATCCTCTCGCTTCCACTAACAGGAAGTGGGTTTCTTCCGTTTCAACCAAATTTTTTCGAAGTAATTGACTGTACCTCCGTCACGGAGGCTCCGTGTACGTCGTTTGCTAGAAGTTGCGCTGTTTCAAGGTCAAGCGAGATCGCAAGATTTAATCATCTGCGCGCTGTTCAATAAATCGATTCTGAAGCGATTTTGAAAAATCATGTTCAGAGAACTTGGATGACGAGCACGTTAACATAACATTCCACCACTAGACCAAAATGACACATACTTCACAAATTCATTATATGTCGCATATGTAGTATATAGGATACTAATACCGGGCATATAACGTTTTACGACTCAAATCGGAGAGTTTAATTCGTCATTGATGTACTCAAAGTCGAGATTATAATGCACCGGCAAGTAGGTGTCGTGGCCCTGGGTTCGATTCTTGCTGATGTCTATTTTCGCGCTTTATCTCTGTCAATTCCGGAATCGCTATTGGAATCGTTTTTCAAAATCGTGTTTGTTGAACGCTACGTCGGGAACGATTTTTAAAATCGGTTTTTAGAAATGATTCCAGAATCGCGCAGAGCAAAGTTGATTGAACGGCCGGCTGATATCCACGTGTTGACTTATCTCTTTTCAGCACTTGCTTGTTGAGCTTACGGCCCGGTGGCTGGTCCATTGATTGATTGCCGCCGTGTAATGGTGTTTCCAAGAAGTAAAAGCGCTTACTCCCGATATGCAGAAGGCGACCAGGCTATGGGTACCACTAGTCCCAACAAACGGCGGATATCTGATGCTACGAGGAATATGTAATATCCGATACGCAGGGAGGTTTCGCGATATCGTCGATATAATGATTGGATCACATTGAGATATATGTGATCGTCAATGTGCATGTGTATTGTATTGGGATTGTGTTACAGTCCCATGTCTCAACAGGTCGCGCTCATAATAGCAGCGTTTCTCTGATGCGTGTATAGTTTTGCTCGAATTTTAGGCCTTCCATCGACCCTCCTACGAAGAGAATGCGTACCTCTGGAGAGTTTGGCGAAGGTATAGGTCGTTCCGTCAGTAGTAGTCACAGTAGGTTGGTTGAATTTCTGTTAGATCCTAGGAGCTACAATCTCCATACAGACCAATATACTGACGCCAAGGCGCAATACCTGGCCGGCGTTGACTGTGGTCAACAGCAGGGAGCTCAGGAACAGCAGAGAATGCTGCCTAAGCTATCTTTCCAACAGTACCGGATGAGAGAACAGCTTCGAGCGTACATGGAGGAGGTAATGATCGCATCGCTCTATGATTGTGTTCCACGATCAACTGCCATAGGAGCTCCGACGTATGCGCTGCGACCAAAAGCATCGGTCTTGTGGGTGCAACTATGAAGCGTGCTCGAAAGGTTCTACGGATGGCGCATAACGGGTTCGACTCGAGTGATGCAAGTCCATGATAAATAATCTACTCGTGGGAGGATGGAGTGTGGAGTCGTTCAGGAGACGGAGACTTCAGTTGGCGATCTCCATGGCTCACGTATTACCCTGTACAGTTTTTCGAGCAATACAATGCGCTTGAATTATCATCTACAATTGCGTAACACTCATTGTATTGCGCGTACACGTGCATTGTTTGCTGTGAAGAGATGACGGTTGCAACGGAGAGACTTCACCCAAAGCACATACTCACTGGCTACTAATGGGTCTAACTTTGTAGTTTCGGTGCTACTGTGTTTGGTCGAAGGCACCTTCCGTCTCAGTCACATCGCTTGCGTCAGTCCGCTTTGCGTTGAGTTTGCTGTTAAATCGTGAACATAGCTCGCTCTTGAATCGCCGCTTCAGCGGCTTACCATGCTATCGTCAGCCTTCGGTGGACTTAGGCTATTCCGGAGACGACAATGGAGGCTCTTCAAGAAACGGATCTGGCGCTTTGATCAACAGTACCATAACAGACCGGCGTCATCGCGTGAGTCTGGTTCAGATACTGGGTCTTCAGTGCGGGCATACCTCTGTGTATCATGACCTACTTCGGAGTCTATGTAGGGTGTGTGGTTATGGATAAGCAATATGAGATGAAGTATTACTGATATTATATTAATGTGACAGTTTGTCGCTTAGATACCTCCGGAAACAATCACTCTCGTACAGAGAGAATACATTGGAGGACGAGCATCGAATGATGGCGGATATGATAGAAAGGGCTAAAGTAGTAGTGGTGGTGTTGGGCTGTAATGGGAATGCGGTTGTGGTGTTTAGGATGATTTTGAAATGGTGCCTGTACCAAACCAAGCACGATAATTTGCATCATTTTCTAACGAAATGGTTTCAGTGGAAACATACTGTAGATTTGGCATTCCTTATTACTGCTGAGAGTGATGTTGTAAGTTGTTCCAATGACGCGCCAACGGCATCATCGCGAACGCGTCGAGTTGGGGAAAGTTGCGTCTCAACAAACGGTTACGCCGAATTCAGCATTCCTGATACCATCAACGGACCATAGGTGAGGTATGTTGGAGAGATATCCTTGCCGCTCACTGCTGTCCTATGCTTCCAGGAACCAGCGTTCCCATCGGTCGGCATCGATGCCTCCAGTGAAATTTTCTGCGGGAGCCGCCGCCATAGCTTCAGCCAAACTCCGTAAGGAGGTGAGTTTCGCCACCATGATGCATCACTCTATAGTTTGTATGCGAGATACGACTTGCCAATGAGAGGTCGAGGATGGATCGATATAGGAAACTGGCTGAGAGAAGCCGCAGGTGGATGGTCTTACTTGTCAACGGAACGAGTGGTGTTGTACGTCAGGACGGTGATGAAGATGGGCGAGAAGGTTAGAAAGGAAGGAGTTGTGAGAGCCTACGTATGCAGTCTCTATTGATGGCTCTGCTCTTTCAGGAGTCAGGGACCAAGGCAAAGGATGAGTATGGCTCCCTATTTCGGCAACCCTCAAGTCGTCGTGCAAGGTTTGGTGAGGAACATCGTGGAAGCATTCTAGTATCACGTCATGCGAAGTCCGAAGCGGCAGCTGGTCGCAGACGCGTGAGTCACAATGTTGGGGCTCGCACGCGTGTTGTGATGAGTCCAGGTCTTCATCATCAAAGGAGGTTATGATGATCTCAAACAAGCACTCCTGAGACGGGGATGGATAGAGAATCCCAATCAGCAAAGTAGACTGAGACAGTGAAGAGACCAGGGAAACTACACAGGTACAAATTTTGATTTCAAGTGGACTCTCAACGCCAAGGATATCGACTATCTTGCTCTTAAGAATGGTCAGATAGTGAATCATTTCGGGAGGAATCGGGAGATCACTACGAAAACGGGTGACGAGATGTGCGCGGCATTCAAAGCGTTACAGCGAAACTTTATGACAGGTCTGACGAGCAATCTTCGCCACTCGTATTCTGTGTACAACTTAATCGACATGAACCAATACTATCCCAGAGCTTATGATCTTGGTGATTCGCAAGGCGTTGGAGAGTTCATATTGGTAGCTCTAGTGGTGTAGGCTTAGGAATATCTTATTGAACAATTAATGTCCTTACAATCAGGAATACAAGCTCACAAAGTGTGTGAGCATATTACGGAAATTCATTCACAGTATTATGAGCTACTCCGGCTCTCCCAGTCTTACGTGAGTTCGTAATCGATTGGACACATTCGCCTGAACGTACTGGTGAGGTACGGCCCTCGTGTAGTAGATGTGGCCTTGAGGGTATGCGATAAACTACAACGCGACATAGATGATGTGATAGACTCGGAATTGGTATCTCTTGCACACGGCAATATCAGTAGAGGGGAGTGGGAGCTTCTGCGATATGTTTCTCTGGACGACCCCCAGGAGTGTGTAGACGATGGCGAAGGTGAAGTAATATCAACTTGAGCTTAGCAGCGCAGTGTTATACAGACACCCTTGTCACAGTTCCTATGTCAATTCGACCAAAAAGTTCACGGTTTTGACTCCGAGTCGAGCAATGAGGAGACGGAAGGTCAAGAAGGCGTGGTATGATCATTCAGCTATGCCTGTTGTTAGTCTTCTCAGGTGGAACCTTCTCATATTCGTGGTTTTTCCGCTGATGTTGCATCCTGTGCTCGATACATAGATGTTAATCACTATATGGAGAAACCTCTGGGACGATGGACTATTGCAGAGGTCAAACGGTACTCTTACTCGCCGACATTGATGCCTTACATTCGAACATGGCCCACTCTCAGAGTGCTTACCCAGTTGTACTCAACTTCAGTGCAGGCTGATCACATTGATGGCCCTCATAATGCTTGGATAGTAGGAGTCACCCGCAAATCGTTTGAAATCGTATAGTGCAGATGAAGCCCGGTGGAAAATCGAGAGGGAGAGGCATTCAAATGATGAGATGCCTCCAGGAAATACTCAATAAATGTGGGTATAGTGATGATAGCCATGCGGCAGCAACACGAGATACGGAGCAGTGGGTGAGAATTGTCCTTTCGCAGAAGAACCACCTCGCGAGTGGCTATTATTTTTAACGTTATTAGTAGTTTTTTTCCAGATTGTTCAGAAGTACATCGAACGACCGCTACTCATCAGAGGTTATAAATTCGACATCCGAGTGTGGGTACTGGTCACTGATTGGAATCCTTTGTCCGTGTGGATATGGCAGAGACCATACATACGCTTTGCAAGCGAAAAGTAAGTGTAAGTTTACACCTTGTGAGGAAGGAAAGTTTAGATACGACATGACTCTCCAATCGGATGATAAATTCGTGCATATGGTGAACAACAGTATAGTGAAGGACCACCCAGAGTTTCATCGATCCAGAGATGAAATTCATGGCTCGGATGGCTTCATGTGGTTTCTACATGACTTTCAGCAACACCTTCATACTACCTACTGTGAGGACTGTCGGTTAGTTGGCTATTGTGAATGCTTGCTTGCCAGGCCCGAACCAGGTTCATTCAACGCCCTGGCTCGCAAGCACCTGCCTGGAGCATAGTCAAGAGAAGGATGGTCTTGTAACAGGTGAGGGCGCATTCTTTCATGAAACTCATCAGAGGCGCGTAGATGTTACGTGCGGTGGCGGTACTAACCCGAGCTTAGCGGAGCCGTGTAGAGACATATGGTCGGATCTTCTGCAGCCGCAGGTCCTTTGTCTAGCATGAGAATCCGGACTTCTCGCTCAATCATGTCTCCCGAATTTAGATGGAAGAAATCATCATCTCTTCGTTGTGGTGCGTATTCGACAACATTGAGCAGCGTAAAGGAAGCTGTGAGCTCTTCGGCTATGACTTCATGGTATCCGATGATCCGGTGCTAGATGAGAGTAGTATCCGGGTCTAATCGTATCTGGAACGATGTCCTCCCAGATCAGTGGCACCCGGGGACTGAGCGAGGTAGCCCTATCGCAACGCCTGATCTTCGTGTTTGGTTAATTGAGGTAAACTCATCACCGGCTATGGAATACAGTACTAAGGTGAGGAGGAGAATGCGTCTGGCGGATTAGCCAGTGCACTGAGTCAGGTAACAGAATCACTCACGAAGGACGTGTTGGGGGACACGGCTAAGGTCCTCGTTGATTACAACGAGGATCCTTTGTCACCTACGGGTATCGGATATCATTCGCTCCTCGGCTCAGTGGCTTCTCTGTTAGGATCCTGGAAACTTTGCTATCGATCTGCCACATGCATTCCTCGACCCCTGATACGGCACTCCAAACTGGAAGTACTTGGAAGCTCCCTGCGGCCGCCGAAGAGGAAAGTAAAAGTTTGGTAGTATGATCCAGTATATGCCCGAGTCCTCAGGCGCGAACGATCCAGCGAAGACTGAGCATGCCATCGTGATGATTTTCGAACTCTATTCATGTGTCTTATCATGTGGCATCATGCGACACCCTAACATGTTTCTCTCACACTCGCTGCCTATTCACGAGTTGAGTTCAGGTGGAGCCGGTCTACTCGCTAGGGCATTTTGTTTTACATGGTTGATGTGGCGTGTTCTCTGGCTCGATTGATGTGATTGCGCACCTCTGGCAATTGCCACGACTACTGAATTATATACAATAAATGCAAAGGGGCGTGAATGGAATGTCGGTAGGTCAGTGTAATCAGGAAGGTTGTTTGTTGCCTCCTTTCGTGAAAGCGTGTATGGATGTCGAATCTAGGGTGAACGAAGATCGAGACTGTGCTGATGATCTGTATGATCTGTATGATCTCTTGCGGATCGTTTTGATTGCTGAGAACAAAGAAATTCTGGTCTATGTTAATGCACTGGACTGAATGGTGCCACTTTTACGTATTTGTGACTAATGTATTTCCTGGGTAGCCAAGATTGATGTGGAAGGATTTTCTCGAAGCTTTCCACCATCCCATGCAGCGTCGAGCTCCCGGCGTTATCAATCGCGATGAGAAAGTCGCGATCGCCGAAAATCAAGTCTTACGTCTATCCAGTTTTGGAACCAGGACTGCCAGCGTTATATCGAAAGTCTATCAAAGGTTGGTGCTCCTTCTGCCGAGCAGGCTGATTTCGAAGGTGTAGGTTCACAGCCATACTGACGGGGTTGCTCTCTGTGAGCCTCTCAGACTTTGAAAAGCGGCAATACTTTGTATTACTGGATGATGTCATCAGCACCTGCACTGTGGTGGTTTAGGTGAACTTCATGCATCTAGTGTCGAGTCCTTGGACTTTGCTTTGCTGCGCCAAGGCACTTCAAACGTACCAGCGTGAATTGGCTGGAACACATACTGTAGGATAATACTCAGGTATTGGAGCATCACCAATTTCATGCTTTTATTGGCGGTATCCGCGCTATTACCCTTTGCTGTATCAGTGAGCATCAAATCGGGTGTGTTACGGGTCAATCATCAATAAGCCAGATGCGCTCACTGTTAATGGCAATACCGTGTCCACGAATGGCGGCACTCGTATCGAACACGGCTCTCCTGGGTGTTTTCGGTATTCTGTGGATGATGGGTTGGTTTGTGTATGTGAATGAATTCGCGTAGTTGATGCCGGATGCTCTGGGTCAGATACAAGAATGTGTGGGTTTCTTACGTCTATGTTATGACCATCTGGCCGTGGTTAGCAGTAGCGTCTATGGTGGCAAGGTTGTATATCGGGCGTGACCAAAAGGTGATGATTTGGTCGAGCGTGGAAATGGTACCGCGGTATCTGGCCGTAGGTGAATCAATTTAGCCCTCTCTCTCATCTTCCAGCTATTGCATTAGCTGGGGTGACGTCACATGTAGTAATCTTGGTGCTGCTGGTGCTTCCTTGCTCAATAGTCAGATATTGTCTCTATTGTCACTGAAGGATGGCCTCACATTGACCGATTGTGTAGTGCTGTGGTTCGTTGATCCTCTGCTTAGTGCTCTTATATGTAGCTGATTGCTTGTGCAGACTTTTCATGAGGGACAACTCGTAGATCCTCTTCTAGTCGATGGCCCAGTACGACGAGAAACTCAATTTTCACTTGCGAAACTTTACATGATGCTCGTGGGTCTAACGGTGAGGAGCTGTAGATAAACGGGACAGTCCCAAGGCTCGTTGCTCCAAGATCATGTACTTCGCTGGGGAATCGAGTAACATAGCTAGCAGAGGTTTCGGCACCACGCATGTGATGTATGTTAAGATGTGTATTTAGATAGCGAGTTAGGTTGCTGCAGGTTCGTAGGCGGTAGAGCGCTACTCACATTGAGGAGTGCCTTTGTTAAGCAGAGCTTCACTAGAGCCTCGGAAGGAGCATCTGAGCCCGATCTAGCTCCGACAGACGAGAGTTGCTCTTGCTGATATCCGCACGGATTCCGCTGTAGTAATCACTCAGGTTTATGGATCACCGCTTCAGCTCCGAGGAAACATCGATTCTCCAAGTTCCCGGGTCCTATCCTATACAGATTAGATGTAGGTTGTTAGGGATCGGCTCATGTCATTCCAAGTAAGGTCATCTTCGATTCTGGGCTGATTGACGTGGATTTGCATGGAGTTGGACCGCTAGGGACGAAGGATCTTTTGGTACCTCATGCATGATTCTTAGCATGGCTATACAGGCATCGTTGATTGGGTTAGCTGATGTCGGACTTCATTTACCTCCTACCGTTGTCTTCGATCACGAGCTGGATCGTCGAGCATATGCGGCGGGATACACTGAAGTAGTACGACTGATAGTATTGGCTGTTGGGAGATGGAATGTTCCAGATTTGGGCTCATGCCACCTGAAACAGCAGATCAGATCGATACAATAACCATTGAAGGGGTGGCAAACTCTATAGCAGTATCGCCGTCTGGGCCCACTACTGCTTTTATCATTGTCTTATGTGTGAGAAGCTGACAATATTAGAAACTACGTAACCGATCGATCTCCCAGCTCATCTTCGGGGGATCGTATCTTTTGTCACCATGGTCGACAGCACGGTCTCTCTTCGACCAAGGCTCCTCAGTCCACACGTGGAGCGTTAAACCAGTGGGTAGCCTGGCTGTAGTGGAATCGTTAATGATGAAACAGGCTCTAGAGATAGCGCCAGTAGTATGTCTAGATACTCTATATCTCAACACTGCTATTACGAAGTAAATTAGATGTTTGTCGTCGCGTGAAACATCGCGTGGGACTCTGACTCAGGTTCCAGCTGATAGTGGCAACATTGGGAATCATCACTGTTCTATTTTGCAGGCATACTTCATGGAAAATTTTCTCGAAGCGGTAGTTCGTTCCTATGACGATTCTTGACTGTGTGCCATAGAGTCTGAAGCTTTCTGCAGATACCTCCTTAAGGTCACTCAGGAGCTGAAGTATCATCAACCTAGTGTACGGTGTCACCGCTTGTTCTGTTCAACTTCCGCCCTTACTCGTTCAGGCATTGAGAGAACCGCAAAAGCGAGCATTGCTGGAGTTCTTACATAAAATGAGTGTTGATGATTACCATATGCTACTGTTGGAGACTAGTGTGCATCACGGCAATAATGTGAGTGGTGCGATTCATGAGAGACAACCGAACAAAAACTGTAGATCCGGGAAATACTTCGAGCAGCTGCTAGGGCAAAGTTGGCCCATCAAGTATGGGATCCAAGACCATCAGCCTCCGCAGCGTGGAAGCTTGCGGTACGCGTCTGCCATGCCATGTCTTTGATTGGAATCATCGCGAGGTATCTCTGGTCGTCAAAGCAATGAAGCAACAACAGTCTGGCCGCCTCGCGCGGATGCGGAATAAAATGGAAATGCTCTGCAATATAAGGGACATTGTGAAAATCACGGCTGAGGGCGCGTCACAGATCGAGACGCTTGGGTCAGGTACTATCTATTGCTGATAATGCTGTGAAAACAGCGGATGGACATGGCAGGCGTCTTCTCATGGCAAAGTCGCACGCTATGTACTCGTGTGTCTGAGTTTCATCGAACTAGCTTGTGCTCCCTGATAGATATTCTTCCAAAAGGCGTGGAATTCGTAGTTTGCATCGGAACATGGTCGCCCGCCGATCTTTGAAGGAAAAAGTTAATGTGAGGACGACTCGAGAGCTTGTTCACAATGGTCCCTTGAATGTCGCAGATAGCACGATCTTTATCCAAGTCGATCATGCTGCAAGCCACTACCTCCGGTGCTATAAGAGCGCTCACCGACGTAGGAGGAGGATCACTATCAGAATTATGTCCAGGTCGATATCTCTCAAGGGTAGTCGTGTCGTCGACGTACTTCTCAGTTACAGCCTCATTACACGGGGAGAGGATATCACGGAGTCCCGATCATGTTGAGCTGGATGTGATCCTCGGTTTTTGGCTATTGTTCCTATTCTTGGACAGGTGCATATGACTACCACTCGTCGTGGTGTGTTTTCTCTAGGCCTTCAATGCATCGATCAGGGCATTCTACCTGACATTCATAGTGGTGCTGGTAAGGGTGTATGTTATTGATCGATCGGTGGTTATGCTAGTTATCATCACTTTTGGCGATAATACGTATGGTCAGCTGGGGACGATGAAGTTGCCTGCGGGAGTGCACTCGCGCTATGGACAGAATACTAGTCATGTGATGACTGTTGATGTTTTGCGCGGCAAAGATTGCATACAAGTGCAGGAACGAGTCAGTAATAGTAGTCAGTAATGGTAGTCGATTAGGTTGAAGCTGGTGGAGATTGCAATTTCGCTACGACTGCACGAGGGAAGGTATATGCATGGGGGAGCAATAGATGGGGCCAGCTTGGTAGTTCACTTGGTCATGTTATGTGTGAGGCTCCCTTTCACATCCCGAGGTATACAATCTGACGCAGGAGATTTTATGAGTGCTGGAGCAATTGAGAGAGGTGGAGTCAAGGGCGTAAGATTGAAGGAAACGCCAGAATTGGTTAAGATAATGAGGGAGTAATATTGTACCTGGTGGATTCGGGACAATGCGGAGTTTGATCTAGGGTTCACGTCGTACAAGTTGCATCGTCGTCTACGAGTTCCATCGGTCAAACTCATACCCTGATGCTGTCCTCCAGCGGTAGGATCAGTGGCCATTTTGCCTTCGTAGACATTGTCGCACTCTTAGGTCATGTTTATAGTTGTGGTACTCAGACTGATGGTGCAATGGGTTTGGGATATGAGGCACTGACAAACCAGACACCTTCTATTGTGAGATGGTCGTACTCTTTCGGAAGACTGCTTTATCATGGGGGCAGATACGCTTCACCACGTCACACCCCATCGTTCAAATTGGCTGCGGCTCCAGGCACTCTCTGTTGCTGAGCAGCGTTGGAATCGTATGCTGTGATGTGTGGGGTGGTACTTGGCAGATCTCGGGCTGAATAGGTATGGGCTTGTGGTGGCAATACGCAAGGGCAGTTAGGCGTGCCTACTTGCAAACATACGGCAACCCCGATATTAGTGGAGGATCTCTCGGCAGTGAGTACAGTCGCGCGGAACGCCAAGGGCGTAGGCTGAGTGAGCACTAGGTCAGACTTCTCATTTGCGGAGAGGCTCATTCGATGGCTAGTACTTTCGATCCTGTAACATTAGAGGAGAAGGTGTAATGCCGACACACTGTCCGGTCTCGCAGTGATGACTATTCTCTCAGCTATGCTTGGGGAAGCAACTCCTGTGGGCAGCTGGGTATAGGTAGCGTACAGGATCAATTTGTACCCAAGGAGGTGGGGGACATCCAGAGGTAATAAACACGCGATGGGAAATCTAGCGGAGCTTTTCAAATCTTATCAGGTTCAGGAAACACCCAGTAGGTAGGAGTTGAGTTGGTCATGTTGGCCGAATGATCATGACAGTTCATATTGATTGTAGGTTCAAAGTTTGAGGGGGCGGACTCAGCTAGCAAGTGATCATGGGCTTATGGCGCTCTGTGTTAGCGCTGGAGCAGGTATTACGTGGCATCAATAGCTGCGGGGGGAGAGCACAGTATCATGGCGATATCTTGGGGACGTGTCGTAAGCATCAACACTCCCGCCTTAGCTGCTTCTATTGGTCGGCAGGTAGTATCTTTTGGATCAAATGCTGTAGGCCAGCTTGGAATTGGCCGGAACAATCAAGGTCGTGACGTGATTCGTTGTAGCCCATCAATTGTGGCATCTCTCAGCGACAAGGTAGTGGGGCAGACATTGTGGGTTTCCCATCTTTGTATAAAACCGTGGGATAGGATGGGAGAAGCATAGTCATGTGTGCAGCTGCAGCCATGCACTCCATCTTCTTGGATGCCTCCGGAGAAACCTTCTTCTGTGGACATAACTCGTAACTTATGCACAAGTGTTGAGCAGTTAACTGATTGGATACAGGTACGGGCAGCTTGGCTTTGCACCGCCAGTAGCGGTGCAGAACTCGAATTCGCGAACTGCTACCTCGGAAGAGAAATCCATCATCTGGTCTCCAGCTCCGCTGTATGTTGTCAAGGATTACCATGTAGTCTCTGTAGTGTATTGATTTGTATTTTTGAGAGCTATGTCATCAGGTGCGATACATCAGTACGTCGGAGACCCACACGAGCTTGTTGGCAACCACGAGTCAGGTGTAGAATACACATGCACTGAGACTTGAGTGAGAGCCATGATATGAAATGTAAGTTATCTCGATGATCATTGCGATACCCTGACTGCGTTTCTCGGGGTGCTTACTTTCTCGGAGTATGGGGGGATGCGGCAGTTTTTTGTTCCTTCAATCGCACCTGGCATGAATCCTTGCGTAATACAGCTCCGGCGGATGAAGCCATTGTTAAGGTGATGCTCGGGTAGGCTACGAAATCTCGTCTGTTCATCCCGCCAGGGTGGAACTGCCTTTTCCTATTATGTAACTCTGCCTGTACGTCGTTGAGCGGCCGCGCTGAAGACTATCGGCTCAAGCGCTGCCTTATTTATTACGTGCCTCAGTTACGGAATTCAATTTGCTCTCCGAAGTACCCATTGTTCTGAATCGATATTGGGGAGTATGGCTACAGGTAGTACTCCTTTATTATTCGAACAGAAGTACGATGAACTCAAAAAGGGGTATCTGGCTCAGAGGGTTATAGTTGTTTCCGACTCTCAGCTAGTATTGATTGACTATACAAAGCTTTATTGGTGAGCTAGAATTCTGTATGATCCGACCTTTCCCCGCAAGGTCTGGTATATTCATTCTTGCCATCGGGGCAAATATTACCTCTTGGATATTCAAGCGATGGGAGTGTGTAATCAAGTGATGGTAACCACTCACAGACTCAAGTTCTTGATGAATCCTATCTTCTTCCGGGACCTATCTCATCGCGGCAAAGGTGGTGAGCCATGGCGCATGCAAGTTAATGGGTTGCTAGGGATACCGCTCCATGACTCCATGAAAATAGTCTCTTGTAACTTTCGAATATGTCGAGTACTCAGCGTTGATGATCAGTGAGCCGGGCTCATCCAGCATTTTGTGAGCTTTGTATTTCTCACATGTCTGAACCCCCACCGCCGTCCTCTCTGAGTGGAACCGAGATTATCGTACGTCGACGTCGAGGGAGGCCGCCGAAGCGTAAGCGCTCTATCGAGGAGCCACCGGCGATCCCTCCTCGGGAAGACGCTACTGAATCAACGACATCGACTTCCGAGTTGGGTTGTCCTCTGACCATGCCAGACTTCCAGGGAGAGACCTCGAGCTCAGCTGACTCCCAAGCTTTGAGGGATGTAGCTGAGCAGTATCTCGCCAGGAAGATTATTGTCAAGTCTGAGGCGACAAGGGATGATAAGATACGATGGGATATGCGGTTTTTCGTTGGGTGGGTCGATGGGGAATCACGGAGTCTAGCAGAGATAACTGAGTGTGCTCCAACTGCTGCTGAACTGCAGCTAACATGCACACACGGAAGGCATAAGAAGGACAGAGATGTAGTGGGTAGTCAAGATATGTACTTCGTACATCCGGACAAAGCTAGACTATGTGGTCTCATGCCTCATCCCGAACAGGAACAGTGGTTCGCGCAGTATAAGCTCCCCTATTGTCGATATACGGATGACGCCGATGACGTTTCTGAAACCATGTTACCTAACTACTTCTCACAACCGTGGAAAGACTGCTGCTCTACGGAAGATGATGATGCCAGACTGATTCTCAGTGGCCGTACTTGTTCTCTCGAATCACTCCTACAGAAAGCTTATGCACTCGGAGACAACGAGGCGTTGACGGTGAGATGGTCCCGAATATTCGGCGGCGGTAGAGGGGTCTTCGCGATGAAGAGCTTCCACAAGAACGAAGTAATCACTCTTTATTCGGGGCACTTATTCTCCGAGGCACAGAGGCATTGGATGAAGGATAATTTCGGTGGAGCACTATCCTCTCATTGTATACCGCTCATGCATAAGCTCATATATGTCGATGGTCTCTTTACTTGTCTAATGAAGGGGATGTATGTTGGTCAGCTAATCAATATGGGTGGCTCCGGCTCAGCCTTCAACAATGTTGAATTCTGCCCAATTGAGGTATCAGTCGTAGAGCCGAGATCAACTAGGAACTGCAAGAGGATTCCTGCCTCTCCAATCGCAACATCTGTCACTGCTACGGGTGTGAAAATGCTGGTCGTTAAAGCTACAAGGTAGTGTAGGGCAGTCTCGGGGGTATCTTTCATGTAGGTTTGGTTATCAGGTATATACATCCTGGCGAAGAGCTCTACGGTTCCTATGGAAGTGCTTTCTGGAACAAACGTGATTGTGATTGTCGAGAGCCTCCACCAGTTGTGTTCCCGTAATGGCATCTGGATGGCCACTTAGATATTTTCGGTGATCCGTTTGTTGTTTCTCGCGCGTAGAATCAATTGGTGGCCCCAGTCTCAGTTTAAGGTCTGGTTTCTGAGGGATGGTTTACTTGTCGCACAAGTTTATTCAATGGTTGTAGCACTATTGGCCTCGGTTTTACGGTAGTATCATACTGTATACTTGGCATTCGTTGGGTGTTGCAAGTTATATTATCATCAAGCGGAATTCAATTATCCATCAGCTAATCTAGATATTGGCGAGCGTCCAATCGCTTTCATTCTCTTGCCTCGTGTTTGAGTTGGTGGGATATCCTGCGGTTCTCCAGTGTCAAATATTTTTCTTCCGAGTGAACATCATATCCGGAGGCACGGACAAGCGCAGCATCATTGGACAATCGTCAACAGTATCAAGACAAGGCTCTGCTGTTACCTATGGAGAAGGACTCCTCTCCAGAGGCTACCGTCAACTCCTCGTCCCATAGCCCGCAGGAAGTACTATCGCTCTTGACATTGCGAGTTACTGAACTCGTTCGTGATGATTTTCTCCGTTTGCGGGAATTCCGATAAATTTTAACAATTTCAGCCTATCAGGTGTTTCAGGAAACGTGATGTGTGATCTCAGGATTCGATCGAAAAGGTGCTAACGCACTCTACGATCCAGAGAGTTGTCGTACTAAAGTACGTGGCTGGGCAGTGAAAGATATGTACTATCATAAAGACGAGACCACTGAAAATACTGTGAGTTCATGCGACCACTTGGGAAGATAATGCTTCAACTTCGTCATTTCTCAGGTGTTCGAGGAGCAGCTGATACAGCATTGGCTCAAACTGATTCAGAGTCAAGGGAATGAAACTCGTGGGAATATATCGAGCCTCGATAATCGAGGTATAGATTCGACTGTGTATGGACTTGACGACATAGCTCCCTGCTTTGAGGTACATCAAAGCCACTGCAGAGGATATGCGACAGGCTTCTTGAGCCATCCAAAAGCAGAAGGTCACATTCACGCTCTCCGCTGTGTTTGAACCTTCGCAATACTCAGGGTCCACGGTTGACAGCTCAGCAACAGGTCCAGAGTAGGCATGCAATGATTCCCAATTGTGGTATCGCTCTCGATGGTACGGTATTCAATGACGGGGATTCTTTCACACTTGAAGTGCCTTGCTTTCTTAGCTACGCAGCCTCTATCTGGAGCAGGGACATATAGGATTCAACCAGTGTCGAATGTTGAAGCTGCTCACAAGGAGAGACTGGATCTCGGGACCGTCAAGGGTATTTCTATGCTTGTGTTTCCCGAATTTATACTCGTTTTTCTCTCGGGATTACCTATGTTGCACCGGGGAATCTCACTCAGGGCGACTGAAGCGGCATCTCATGACTGCTGGGGGAAAGAGCAAGAAGCGCAGCAGCAAAGCAGTTAAAGTCAGCATTACTGGGAAAGAAGCTTAGATTGCTCTTGGATGTATACTCCTCGGTGACCTCTTGTTGTGTCGGAGGTTTTGTGGCGGTTTTCAGGCCTTCAGTTGTGTGATTTGACGATACAATGTCAACACCGGTCGTCCTCAAGAATTCTCAATATCGTGTGCGACAAGCAGCAATGAGGCTTCTAACTCATCTCCGAAAATGTCATCATGAACCTCCTGATAACTTATACTATGACAGACTCTTGAGCGAATGTAATACTGTATCAGCTCATCAGAAGAACTCTTCTTGGTAGGTAAGGCTACAGATCTCCTAGGGATATACCATTTCTTCTTCTTGACCATGTCACCCCAAATAACACTGCACATTCACGGAAAATATGAAGAATTCGGAGCATACAAGTCGGATCTCGAGTTTATGAAGGTGAGTGAATCAATAGTCTCGAAGTCAATATGGCTGTTGTAGATTGTCTACAAATTCATGCGGGAAGTTCTCGAGATCAGCCCGTGCATTACACTACAGCAGTTCTTCTCTAGCGGCTTTCTATTGAAAAAGTTGGACATGACGTCTCGGGTGGCTGAGGAGCTTCTCAAACTGGATAAGCAGCTAGGAGGGAAGCTAATGCAGTCAATCCCGCGGTGCGAACTGAGTGTGAATACTTCGTTCTATTGCATTGAACCGACAGGAATAGTTATCACCCGCTTTGGATTTCCGAGTATCCCATCAGTACTAATCGATTCTTCCTCCTTAGGACAACTAAGAGAACGGGCGAGCCTGCCTTGGTTCAAAGAACGAAAACAAATTGTCTCCAAAGTTCACTTTCTATTGAGGATGCAAGGAGTCGGCCGTCTCCGAATGCTCCAACTTTTGGGATGGACTGCTTGTCCGATTCTATGGAACGGCTCGTCAGAGCAGTTAGCTCTGTTGAGCTGAAAGTGGATACACTCTCAGAGCAGGTCGAGTCACGCTTAGACCAGCTTGAGGCGAGGCTGCGAAATCTCGAGTGGCCTAACGCGAGTTCGGTCACGGAGAAACCTCCGACCGCCGACGGCGATAGGATAGGACCGGTCGAAGCGGCGGTGGACATTGTCTCTACGACTATGGATTCGTCTCCCGATCATGATTCCGTTGATGAGATAATTGAAAGACTCGATAAGCAGTACGAGACTACTCAACGGATGCTGGGAAAGAGCCGCGCATTGCAGATGAGCTCCAGCGATTTTCCTGCCTCTTGACTCCTGCATGGCTGTGAGACTTCATCACATCTCCGATGACATTGCGTTCAAATTTAGCGGTTCAATGGTTTGGAGCAGCAGGAGTAATTGCCGTAGTCTTCTTCCACAGTTGGTAACTCAGACTTAGACTAGATGACTGAAACGTGGAATTTGGCGCTGAACCTCTTAGTACATAGCAATTTTCTTACATGTTATTCGCATTCACTTGCAGGACCTGCAATGCAGGTACTGTCACAGATCTTTCCCAGATCTGTTAGTGCGTCAGTTCGTGAGCCACACACGAATTAATTTGAGACCACAATGACGGAATACAGGAGTCGACCTCCGGTCAACGGGATGCAGCACGTTGCGTGCCCAGTTGTGGAGATACGATCACACACTTTGCCGTTGTGTCATTGTCCCATGGGGATGTCCGGCGGACATTGTCCGCTGATATAGTGAGAAATCGCGTAGTTTCGCCTCGCCATTTGGATTGAACACAACTTGCCAAACTTGGCGGCTAAGTCTTAGCCGCGAATTTGTGTCTGGTCGAAGTGCTAACGAAGCTTCAACTGAGCCAGAGGTGCACTCTGTGATGTGGAATACCCTCTGCGTATCGCCGAGTATTCGGTCCAGACGCCAGACAAGCGAGCGGCAAAAACTTATCTTTGTGTCTTAACCCTCGTCGCTTCTCATCATGGATGACTCGATTGTTGCTAGTCAGATAGCTAAGTCTTTACCCTTCCTCCAAGAACTACTATCTTGCTTCGTGTTGATGAGATGAATTCCATTGTAAGATCATTTAAGTTCACCTGAAACTCACCCGAAATTCGCTTGAAATTCACCTGAAATTCACTCGCGATTCGCGAGAAATTGAACTGAATTGAAATTCAACCTAAGATTACTTGAAAATTATTTGGAATTCACCTGATATCTACTACATATTATCTAGCTGAAATTAACTTGATTTGGATTTGATTGAAATTCACTCGAATTTATTGAATTGAAGTATGATTCATACTTACTTGATACTCAATTAATACTGCATGTCATGCAGTATGCATTCATGCAGTGCACGAATTGAATTCAGAATGGTTTTGTTGCTCGGAATCTCATTTATGCCAACAATGAGGGGACTGAGATTTTTCAGCATGGCGCCTAGGATGCGGAGGTCGGCGCTAGCTCTTCGGGGGCACAATCCCGAGAGTGGATCGCAGAATTGGTGGAAGGTGACATGGGTATGCCTGGCTACTGCGATTCTGCAGGGACGGAGTGAAGATATTCTATCGAGGAGTCCGGACTCTCCTTCCGGACGAGCTCTAGTGGGGAGTATAGCTGAGCTTAGGGGCCGTTTCTCTGTTCAGATATTGATGGTACTCAGACTAATATCGTCTCATCTGTGGAGGAGGCTCCTCCACAGAGGAGGCTCCTCTGTGCTCGGATCCCCCAGAGTCTGGTGACCAGACTTCTTGCGATCTCATATCATCAGTGGAAGGAGACGTAATTTTTTTTTTCGTCCGAGCACGTGATCGTATTTCGAAGCAAAAATGGCCCACCTGAACAGGACATATACGAGAACGATACATGCAGAATTAGTCTGACGTGCGCTTGAAGTTATCGTGCTTCCAAATTCCCAATACAACGATCTGCCTGTAGGTCAAGTGATCCTTTATGTGCCTCAAGTGAATATGTTCGGCGGATTCTGGAAACGGACCTTGCTTCGCAATATTCGAGATAGTCATTTGAAAAGGAAAAACTCTAAGCGATGAACATAAAATATTGAATACTTTACGATTGTTTGGATTTGAATTGGCCACTGTTCAATTTGCTAGTATCTTTGCTGTGCAGGAATTGTTCGTTCACCCTTCTGTGCACGTAATACCTTTCCGGATCACGATTTGAAAAAGATGATGCAGTCGAGTTGGAGAAGATCCAAGGTTTTCATGAGAAAGAACCAGATTTGAGCCGCGGAAGTTGCATATATCATACATACGAATCGTATGATACGATATATGCGAAAACCACAGTTACTACCTGGTCTCGGCTGTGAATAGAGCGCGATAACGCGATATATCACATAATGTGAAATAGCGCGATATACGATGCGTGATTTTCGCGAAAAGGCGGTTTTCAGTAGCGTTTTTTCGCGATGTGATAGAGTCGATTATCACTTCGTGTTTTTCGCGTTTATCACATCGTGAATAACGCGATTTGGCGTTTAACGGGTGCATCTCCAATGTTAGTACTAAAAAGGGAGGTAAATATATGTGACATATCATATGATTTATTGTAATTTTTCAAGGTCGAGGAAGACCTAAGCTATGTGTCAATGACATCAGAAAGTGCCGTACTGCTAAACCTACAGAGAAGGTAAATTTGGCTGTGATTATGATTTTTAGTTTTTATTTCAGGAGCAATTATTTGGTTGCTCGCTGTGTAATAAAAATGTACATCGAATAAGAGGTTACAACAACATATTCAGTTTCGTCATTGTAGTTCGTCTAGGTAATTTGGCTGTGTTTCTAAATTTCTAGTTACAATAATGTTATGTATTTGATATATTTTCCTTGGGATTTTTTGACTTTAACGATCATTTTTTATATTTCATTTACTTCGTTTCACGAGTAGTTTATATTTGGTATTATGATAATTTATTTATATTATTATATTCAGTATATTTATAAGTTGATGTCTTTTGCAGTATTGTCTAGTAATGAAAAATACTACTATTGACACTTCATCTGCTGTTTTTACAGCAGTTGTACATTTACTGAAGGTCAAGAAAGTGCAACTTACAAAAAAGAGAAATGTAAGTTAATATTTGTTATTTTTTTCATTTTTTTGTTTAGAAGGATGGCGTAATAATGAAAAAGAAGAATGAAAAAAAGAAAAAAAATAGGAAGAGAAGAAAGTAAGTCTTGTAGCATTATTTCATGTTACATTTTATTCAGGTTGAAATATTATTCGTGAAATATTGTTTAAAAGAATGTTTTACATATAGATTGATGTTAAAGTATTATAAATATTTTAGGAGAGACTTTGGTTTAGTAGATACTCGGTCAGGCTCTTATTCTCATAGTTCCGGGTCCAAACCCAATACTCATTGCTCACTTAGGGTGGTTGTCAAAGAGAGTCTACTCGTCTTGGCTGATACTAAGTTAGACCAGTCTAGGTCCAGCTGGCATGATAGTTGAGATGGAATATAATGGTTGTTCGCTAGGATAACGATAACATGCTAGGTTAAGCAGAGTGTTTTGCAGAGACTGAAATATCCAAATTTTATTTTTCAAATATTGTTTAAAAGAATGTTTTACATACAGTATAGATTGATGTTAAAGTATTATAAACATCTTTGTAGAGACTTTGGCTTAGTAGATACAAAGGGGTAAATATATGTGATATATCATCTGATTTGTCGTGATTTTTAAGGTCGAGGAAGACCTAAGTTATATGTTAATGGCATTAGGAAATGTCGTACTGCGAAGGCTACGAAAGAGGTAACTTTGCTTGTGATTTTCGTGTTTAGTTTTTATTTCAGGCGCAATTATTTGCTTGTTTGCTGTGTACCAAAAATGTACATCAGATAAAGGTACACAACATATTCAGTTTCATCATAGTAGTCGTCTATTTAATTGGTTG